AAACAAAGATTTTCAAGATTGAATTTTTGAATTTGAATTTTAAAATAAATTAAACTACATGTTTAAATAAGGAAAACCCGAAACCAATATAATTAATGATATGCTTCAATTTTGCTAAATCACACACACACACATATTATATATATATATATATATATATATATATATATATATATATATATATATATATATATATATTGTCTGTGTGTGTGTGTGTGAGAGAGAGAGAGAGATAGAGAGAGAGAGAGAGAGAGAGTATATCATATATGCATATCACTGTCATGACCTTAATTTCACCACCATATATAACTCAGAATTAATTATGTGATCATAAATCATACAAAAAATGTTTATTAATTAATTGCTCTCATTCTCTAAAATACTGCAAATCATCTCTGTCACAAATTAAACAACATGTTAGCTAGCTAGTGTGTATCACTGTGTGTGTGTGTGACTGTGTGTGTATATATGTGTGTTGGAGAAAGAGATAGATAGAGTTATATATATTCACATAATTAATATGTATATATAAAAATTCATGTGTCATGTGTGTGTGTGTGTGTGTTACAACTAACAACTAACAAAGGGAATTAACGACAAGGGTCTAATAAAGTCTCTTCATTAAGTATTAGTCAGAGGATATTAATATTATAAAATTGCCAGCTAAAACCTTAACACAGATGTTTCTCTTACCAGACACTCACAAAACGTACAACAGAGTGGAAACAATTGTCATTGGTAGGCCAAAACATTTACAAATTAATTGTCACTTCATTACAGCCACATAAAAATATTATTATTTCAAAATAAAAAATAAAAAATAAATAAATTGAAAACTCTTTTCCTTGGGCTAATCGGCTGGGTCCATAATTAATTAGTACAACATCTCCTTTTGGGCCTGATGGGTATTCTTGTAAATCACCATTTATTCAGCCTTTTGGGCCCCTCAAAGTATTATGTGAAAAAAGAGAACGAAACGACGTCGTTAGGGAGTTCGATAAAAAGATAACAAAACGACGTCGTTTCAGTGTCCGTTTTGAGGAATTGTTCCCTCACCTCGCAGAAATTATCACTTCCCATTAACAACGTTAACCAGACAAACATGAGCGGCGCGTTGGCCTCAACGTCTCTCTGCAACGGTCGAATTTCAAGATTTTCCCCCAAAAAAACAGTATTATTTTCAGTTCGCAGAAATACTGCATTCATCAATACCCAATTTCCGATCAGAATTTTGAGAATACGAGCCAGTTCAAATGAGCTAGGCACTAAAACAGAACAAGGGTATAAAGACGAAGAAGAAGATCTTGAAGAAAGTGAAGAATCGAGCAAGAATTACAGTGGGCCCTCATCCGCTTCTTCTCCTTCACTCGATAAAGATATTAAAAAGGTCGAGTCTTTTTCTCTCTCTCATTTATGCTGTTTGCATTTTTATTTTTTTTATTGTTCTCATTAGTTAATATCAACTGAAACTATTATTTAAGCGAATTGCTGAATTTTGTTGCTTGATTTAATGTATCATTAACAAAAGGAACTGTTATTGGAATATGCTTTGATTTTATTTCAGTTATTATTTCTAATTAGAGGTAATAAATAGATATTATTAATAAGTTGTGTAGAGATTATAAATAATTATATCTCATTCCAACAGGTTGTTCAAAAAACAGCAGCAACGTTTGCACCACGAGCTTCGACCGCAACGAAAAATCCAGCCGTACCGGGAAGCGTTCTATACACCGTGTTCGAGGTTCAAGCTTACGCGTCTCTGTTAATAGGGGGAGCTCTCTCTTACAATCTCATCTTCCCCTCAAACGAACCCGATATTTGGAGACTAATGGGAATGTGGTCCATTTGGATGTTCAGTAAGCAATTTCTTCCTTCATTTAGTAGAAGTAGAATATGTTTGGTTGGTTCCGGTTTATATACAATATCGACACACTCTTGCTAAATTGTTTCAGCTATTCCTTCACTTCGTGCGCGGGACTGCTCAAAGAACGAGAAAGAAGCACTGAATTATCTATTCATACTTGTTCCCTTAATCAACGTCGTAATCCCATTTTTCTTGAAATCGTTTGCTGTTGTTTGGTCAGCAGATACCGTTGCCTTCTTCGGAATGTATGCATGGAAGGTATATATATATATATTCATTTCATTTGGTAATTTTTATCTGAGCATATATATCAACATTTTCTTTAAACTTTTTTTGTACAGCTTGGATGGCTTTCGCAGAAAGAGTGATATTTGTACAAGAACAAGTGTTTTTGAAAGAGGTGGTACATATATATATATTCTTGTTGTATTAAAATTTTGTACCTTGAAAGATTTATCCATTCAGTTGTTTTAAATCAAATTTACTTGACAATGTGATTACATTATTGAACATAATAAAATGTGCAATAAAACATCAACAAACGTATTTTTGGAAGGATAATTCGTTTAGTCATGTTTTTATTAAAAAAAAATCCATTATTACATATAGAAGTGTGAACACACTGATCAGTGAAAAGCAAAAGGTTTTTTCACACGGAAAAAAAATCGAATCGCACACGTTTCTAGATACAGCAGAACAACATTGTAAATGGCATATGATTCGCTACATTGAAATATCAAAGCTCGTCTTTTGCGGGAGGCGCTTGATGATAACACTTCTCATCCCAAAATAACGGGAATTTCAATTTTGCAGCACTGTGTGGCATTGACCAATCGTCGTATATAAACCTGAAATCAAACACAAAAACTCAATGCTTACATCATGGAAGTAAGTTTAAATTGCACTTATACGACAGGGGTATCTCCGGAACCATAAAAACGCGACGTACAAAAATTAAACACAGGATCTGCGACAAACTCACGATCGGGGAAGACTTGAGTTTTAGAGATAGAAAATTGCAACTAGCTGCTTACGCTTTCATTGGTGGCCTAGATATGACAACTAGAAAATGTAGACCCTCGTGCTCGTTTGTGTTCCAGACCTGACCAGAAATGCAAAATACATCAACAACTCGATACAATCAAAATCATAACCTGCCATAGCCCATCAAGTGCAATGAAACTAAGATGTAATTAACGGCATGTTTTAGGTGTTTACTTTGTTGCTAACGCCTTCCATATAAAACTTTAGTATCAACATGTGCGACAAATAACGTAAAACATCAATCAAGAAAAATTAGCAAAATGTACCCGATGAACATCGTTGACCGGAATGTGGAAGGTGCTGTTTGCGAAAATCGGAAACTCTTGAGGAGTGCCGGGATATTTTAGATGCGAGTTGGAGGCAAGATATAACGTGCCACTGCCCTTTAGAACCACAAATACTTCCTCACAAGAATGCCTGTGGATCGGTGTTCCACCTCCTGGAGCAACTGTTTCCAGCCATATCTCAACCTGTCTTAAAGCATGATAATAACCGTAATTATTTAAAGGTGACAAAAACAAACAAACAACACAATCGATTAATGACTGAAGGACGAAAAAAAAAAATGCAAAACTAAGGCCTTTCAACTGATTTGCATTTCAAAAACAAAAGTGATGTATTTTACAAAAAGACTGAATTGATTTTAAATGTTGGTTGCATTTTATTCGGAAAAAAGAAATTATGAGCGGAAAATATAATCACAATCTATTCATAATTAAGATCAAAACCAACTATTTTACCTCTTTAAAACCGTGCGCGAGTGCACCGGCAACGGTGATATGAGATAAACCAGGAATAGGGAAGCTATCCTGTGTGATCTCACTGATATTCCGAACAATAGGTATCCCTACATTTCAAATCGCAAAACAAACAAACAACAAGATCACACTCCCTATTACTTACTAAAGGGTAGGTGAAATGGTGGACTTATTTTCAAGCACACCACCTGTTCGTTAAAATGACTGAAACGGTAGTAGCAAATTCCAAATTGAATTCGAGAACAAACATATATAAATATATTTCGCCAAGAGAAACGAAAAGAAAATAGAAACAAGAAGCTAAAGACTTGCCGTCGGTGGCGCAAAGAGAACCATCGGCGGTGGCGACGGCGGCTGAAAATAGAAGGGCGGCAAACAAAATGAGCATTTCGCAGCCCATAATCCGTGCCTGCAAAAATATCGTTGTTTGATTTGTTTGTGCTTCTCTTTTGACTTTTGCAATGCTTCTTTCTGTAACTCTGTTAGCTCTCAAATACAGTGTCCTGAAAGGGAAGAAAATGTAATTAACATATATTTGGAGATCTGATTGCAACATATATTAGGATGAATAATAAGATTTCACCTGCTCTTTATTTCATTGGCCCTTGTATTTCGTCATTATTGCTCAAGTGAATGATTAAGAGCCCACAGTGTTTTTCTAATTAAAAAGTAATTAAGTTTTAAAAAATTGCAATTTAACCCCCACGCAATTACAAAAATCCAATTTAATACCTTAAATTTGAAAATGACCATTTTAAGTTGAGACTTTTAAAGAAAACGCTGGGTATTGTTGTCTTTTCACAAGGGTCACAATTCACTACTTTAAATTAAATTGTTGGAGTACAAGCATGCATGTATTACAGAGACGAATCTTCTGTAAAAAAAAAAAAATCATTTCCTTCTCTTCAACAAGCTTCTTCGTTCAGCTTCTTTCTCAGCAACTAGTACATAAAACTCCGCACCAAGCATCTCGTGTGTGTCGAGATTCAAAGACCTACTCAGACTAACAATTTCCGTTACAACTTCAACAGTAATCATAAACCCTAATGTCGACATCACTCGTACAGCATTGGCTGCCCTGCATATATTCTCCCGAGTATCGAGTGGCGTATAAGTTTCTTCCACTTCTTCATTTTCTTGCTCGGATTTGTTTGGTAGATCCTCTACCATTTCGTCTCTCACTTCAACATGCTCACCGACCCAAACGAATCCATTACAGCCTAGTATTAAGTCAATTCCGTATTGGTCTAGATGGTGGAAATGCTGCTTACGCTTCTTCACTAGATAAGGAGGGATTGTAAGAAGTTGACCCCTCTTCAGCTGTATAAAAAATTAAAAAAAATTAGAAAATACAATTGTAAATAAGAAACCAACTATATTAGATGAAGATGGAAAATATTAGTGGTTAATCAAACAACAAAAGAAACAATACCTTTCCATACTTTTGGCTTCTTGCTTGTAGGTGAAGGCAGCCGTCATGCTGGAAACCACGAACTTCGGCCTGAGTTCATTAATAGTATATTAGGAGCTTAAAAGGGAAAACTCAAGCCGAAGTATATTCTTCGATACCTTTTTAGCATTAAAATGGAGACAGGTCATAGTTGTCAATACACTTAAACATTGAAGAACTTACGCAGATAACATCGTTTTCTTCAAATATGCTACGCATGTTGAGTTCATCAACTGCAGTTCTTCGTCTCTGAAAAAGCAAAAAACACAGGATGAGGTTAGAAATTCAAAAAATGAGTCAGAAAATGACTATCACTGGTTGCAACTAAGGTCAACTATAACCATAAGGGCCTTCTACACAATCAAATGAAAGAATGTATCGGCAGGAAAAAGGCTTGACGAACCCGCATATTCTTTGCTACTAAGAATTCCAACATTTAAGTAAATGGTATTAATTTTCTTATCATAACCTTGCATTTCATTCATAGGATAGTCAAGTCGCTCCAATTTCAATATTTAATTCAAGAGGTTGATACAATTTCCTTTGTCTTTATTTCTTTAGAAGACATAACAAATACTAGAAAAAATATCATTAAACTGTAATAGCAAAAAACATAGGGCTAAATTACAACCAATGTCATAAATTTATAACAAGAAAAGGTATTAACAACAATATTTCCAGGCAGCAGAGAGACGAAACTTACAAACATGAACAAAACAAATCAGGCAAAGCCACGAATTTAATATGAAAACCTAGTTCACCACACTAATGTGAACTGAATCATATAACTACTATCGTACTCCCACAGATATTTGAACTACAATGACGTAATAAAACAAGACGGTGACTGCCCTCAAATTTTGTATTCATTAAATTGGATGTGTGATAAAATTTTGACTAACACGGATTCAGACCCAACCGATCACTAGCTTTTGCCTCTCAGAGTTATCAGAGGAAGTAGCAGTTAAAACCATAATCATTGAAAGATATACCTGAATGCCATCTGGTAGGTTCATTGAAGAAAGCATAAGCACCGCATCTTGGCTGAAGTTGATCTCCAATCTCCACCGCTTCGGTGCAACCTTCACAACAAGTACAAAATATATTACTTCAGAAGTGAACAAAATGAATATATGCAGACTATCAAAGGATAGCTCGAAAACTCAATTGATTACATACGGACCAATATAACTAAAGTAATCAAATCATCAAAATGAAGAACTAAAAGAAAATTAATCAAACATCATTCAATCAGCAAAAATATTTCATAACGAATTAAATCAGAAGGGTTAATTATCTACACCTCAATAACACGGCCGATGATGATATCGCCAATCTCAGGCTTGTATCTAACACACAAAATTAATCAAAGGTTAAAAAAATAAAAGAATAAATAAAAGGGGGGAAAATCAAGAGTTTTTAATTGAAAATAGTGAAACAAACCTAGCCCTAAGTGAACGAACATAAACGAGCTTATTGACGCGCTCCACCACTCCACAGAGCGTCGCCACCAGGCGACCGTCCAGCTCAATCGTCCCATGGCCCCTACACCGCCATCAATTGAATCCAAAATAAGCTCATTTTCTAACAAATTTAAAAAAAATAGAAGAATTAGTGGAGTAGAAAATACTTGAGGATGGCGTCTTCATTGTTGACGGCAATGTCGTCGGCGACTTTGACGGAGGCGTCGGAATTCGACTTCGACGAGAGAGATTCCAACTTCTCTAAAGCTCTCTCAAGTCTGAGTTTCTGCCCTTTGCTCAATGACAACTGTAATCCTCTCATTGTGCGTACGAAAACGAAGAGGAAGAAACGAGCTTCGCAAACCCTTCTAAAACCCTAGTTGCCGATTGAAAAATTTTGGGAAGAAAGAAAGCGGGCACTAGTAAAAATATGGGCCGGGTCGATATATTTGGGCTTTTTACTTGGACTTGTCTTTTCTGTTATTTTTAATAATAATAAATAATATACTCCATTAATTAATTATTGAAATGTTCTGTTCATTTATTATTCCTAAATGGGCTTAGAAAATGATGAGCCCAATAAATAAATCTACAGGCTTGAAACCCAAATCATAGTTCAACAAGAAGTGGTGCACACGCGCGAATTCTTCCCGACAAGATTAAGATTAGTTTAACTGTATTAAATAAGTAATTAATACAAATTAATTTGATTCTTAAACTTCATCTCCTACCGACGACTGAAACAAAAAAAGAAATGTACCAGAAACCCTAGACCTGAAATCCTTCAATCCAGCCATGAATTTCTTCAAATCAATACTATCCGACGATCCGGATCCTCCCAAACCCGGTGATCTCAACGAATCCGACCCGAATTCCCTCCTGAAACAACAGCCTCGCGACGACGATGATAGTGATTCGAGCGATGCGTCTGATAGTGATCCAGCAAATGGATGGAGTTTCGGGGGCTTGATCAAAACATTCGCGGTTCGTTCGGAATCGATGATCGAAACGTACCGTAGGGATCTAACGGAGTTCGGGTCGGGTCTCAAGAAAGAAACGGAGATATTCAGGGAAACCGCGAGCCGCGCCGTGAAGGATCTCCCCGCTTCGATCGAAGCCGGCGCGTCGGCTGCACACGGCGCGCTGGATGGAGTGCTGAAATCGACGGCCCATATCATTTCAAAAGAGTCCCTAGGGTTTGCGTCCGACGGGGAACCTGAGACTCCAGACACTAACCGGAGCATGAATTCGGGTCGGTATAGCTGGTTCGAGTCTCAGCTGAGCGCAATTCAGAGCGATGTGAATACATTCTGCGAAGAGCTGGAGGATGTCGAAGATTATATGAAGTGGAAAAAAGGGTTTGAGTTGGAGGAGAATAGGGATGAAATCGACGGTGTGATTGAGAAAAACGGAACTTTGGAGGGTATTTATAGAAGGGTTGTTCCTAGTGCTGTCGATCACGAGACTTTCTGGTGCAGGTATTTTTATAGAGTGGACAAGCTCAAGCTGCAGGAGAGTGTTAGGGCGAAGCTTGTGAAGAGGGCGATTTCGATTGATGATGAAGAGGAGTTGTCGTGGGATTTTGACGATGATGAAGGGGATAGTAGTGAAGGGGATCGAGCGGGTGTTCCAAAGGTGAAAGGAGATAATGTAGCAAGTGATCAAGATTTGAATCCTGTTTTGAAACAAGAGGGTTTGAAGAGTGGATCTCCGCATGAGAAAGACAATGTCGACGCAAATGACGGTGACAAGAGTGTTGTGGATGTGTCTTTAGGCGAGAAAGAAGTGAAGTCAGAAGATAGTATGGAGAATAATGTCGAGAAGGTGGAATACGAAGTAAGTGTGGAAGGGAAAAATGACGAGAAGGTGAAATCTGAAGAAAGTGGGGAAGAGAAGAATGACGTGACGGTGAAATCCGGAGGAATTGATACGGAAGGGAAGAATGAGGAGAAAGTGAGTATGGAGGAGAAAGGTGAATCTGGTAAACAAGCTGATGCTTCTAAAGTTGACCAGTTGAAGGCGGCGGAAGAGGAATTGGGGTGGGATGAAATTGAAGACACTGGTAGTGGTGATGAGAAAAAAATCTCTGCTACTTCCAATGGCAATAGCCCAAACAGAGCCGAGTTGCGGAAAAGGATGAGTGCTGCTGAAGATGATGATGATTTGAATTGGGATATTGAAGAAGATGATGAACCAGTGAAAGCTTGATTGATGGGGGATCAATCTTTATTCTTAACAACTGTAATTATTATCAAGTGCTGCAATGCACTTTACTTCATAAACGGAAGAGGTCAATGGCCTCTCACCGAGTAAATATGGATATGTAAAAGTAAAACCGATGAATTTCATTTCATTCTTTTATTTTTTTTGTTCATTCGTCTTTCTTCGTGGCCAAATTGAGGAATTTATTACCTCTTTTCTTTGTGTGGCAAAGCTCCACTTTTCATATTTGGCTCGGTGTTTCGACAGATGTACCGGATTCATTTTACGCGTAATTGAATGTTGAAACTGTTTCAGTTTTCAATTCGGAGTTTGTTTCTACAAAAGCAGATCTTTGATTAATGCTTACTGAACCTGGTTAACAACTTCATATTTTCAGATATATGCTTTCTAAGTACAGTTTCCAATTTTATATAGGCAACTATATATATATATATATATATATATATATATTTTTTTTTTTTTTTTTTTTTTTTTTTTGAACAGTAATATTGTCAAACGAACCACAACCCTTTAACTTCATCCTTAGGAAGAGAAAGAAAAAAAGAAAGTCAATACAGGACCAAACCACAAACCTCTACCTAACTAGAAAGCACAAACCTTTTTTCAGCACCTGACTCCAACTTACATTAGAAAACTCCGAAAGATTGCTGACAAAAACACAAACTTACAGGCAAAAGACCTCTAAGGGCTATTCACCCCTGAATCAGAAACTATCTCGGTGGTGGCTTTACGCGTGTCAGACGAGGAAGGTAGAGCAAGAAACCTCCCTCTCTGAGCGCGTGGCGGAAGATGCTTTGCGTGGTGCTTTCTTGTTCCACCATTCCACGGCAAGAAAACACCTGTACCACCACGGGGCATCCTTCTCGGGGCCACCATCATAGGACGCACGGGGGCCAACATTACCATTGGGGCCCGCACGAGACCCCACTTGGGGATCATATTCATCGGCTTGTAATTGTTCGGCATATTATTGTACGGTGTAGGAACACCGGGTTGCCATAGGGTCATTGATGTAGACATAGGGGCTATTATCTCCGATGGAATATTCCTTTCCACCTCTACCTCTGAACGGACTCTGAAGAAGCTAATGCTAACCCTCTTATTCGGCGATGAACACATTACGTGCCTTGCTGTATCCGAACTATGCCCCCTCATGACTAGTAGAGACCTGTGAAATTTTATTTGATTAAATTGCTGAATATTCAATACGTTTTTTTTTTCCTCTCGTTTAGATGCATTGAAATGGCTAACTAAGTTATCATACCCTTCCTTGGGAGAAACCATGAAAGGCCCTCTGTAATTTCCTTCACCGTCGCTTACAAGCATGCGGCCAAAAGCCATTACAGAATCGGAAAGGAGGATAGTTGACATAGGCTGCTCCAAGTGAGGTGGTTTCAAAAATGGCTGAGAATATTCTCCCTACATGATCAACATCGATTTGCTTCATATTTTTGCTAGCATGGGATTGTGAAGTAGAAATGAAGAATTCAATTGCATTGTTAAGTAATACAAAAAGAGGGGTAACCACGATAATATATACCTCGTCGAAAAAGTTAATGATGCAGCTGTTTGGTCTCCTGTTTTCTGGAAGCAAGCGCCATTGAACGAGGTGTTCGATTACACCTTGGAGAAGAGCGGGTATTGGCTCAATATGTCCTATAATAAGATTAAACATGTTGTCAAAAAGAAATGAAAGCAACAGTAGCAAACTGTCAATCAAAACATTAATTAAAAAATTAAAAATAAAATTGCCATACGTCTTTCTTCATCTTTTATCTGCCCGAAAATGGGAACACCAAGCTGGATCAACTCTCTCTTATTTCCTTTCGTCTGTTGATTATACAAAATGAACGTCTCCCCTGAAATAAATCGGCAACACAAGATTAGACCTATGCCAGAAAGCTTTGACCTTGCAAATTACATCGTAGCAAGTAAAGTTTATCGGATGAACGTCTGTTGATTCTATATCTTATAGTCTTTTTATTTGACCAAAAAAAAGAAGTTAATAGCATGTTGCCCTATCTTCGAACCCGTAAATGACTACTTAATCTTTAAAATAAAAACGAATGCCCAGACCTGCTCGAACAAACCTATAGAAGATGGTCCTTTACAATCTCATAACATCTGCCCCCAAAAAGAAAGGTAGTGTTTTTTTTTTTAACATAAAAGCATCACGGATCACAGAATCCACCTGAGAGATCGCCACTCTGACCAGCAACTCGTAATTCGTTCACAAAGTCGTTCAATTTCGACATCTCAACATCGGTGAATATGTTTTCGTGTATCTTGAGACCTCTAACAACATTAACCTACAAGTCATAGTAATAATACCCATCAAAGATCATATTTTTATTTTTCACAACGAAACTCGAAAACAGTAGTCAAGAAAAAGTTTCTTAGTATACCATGTGCCCTTTCAGCGGCTCCTTTGCTACAAACCCTTTCGTTGTCTTGATTTGAGCACGACGCGCCTCGCACTGTTCGTGATTGGAACATATGTCTACATGCTCTGAAAAGGGCTGCACTTCTTGAGATCCTGTTGTACATTGAACAGTCAATATAACATTTCAAAAAATATTGCAAATAACGAAGATACTGCTATTGCCTTGTATTCGACAAATTGGTGACTCGTGTCTGTACTCCTTTACCATTCAAGACATTCTACACTCAATAGTAATTAACTTGTAATCAGTCTTATCAGTTATCGGTATAACTTAATCCCCATTTACGGCATTTATAAATTTTGCATCTTTAATTTTTTTTATTTTGTTTTTAATTTTAAATAAAGAAACACATTTCCCACTTGCCCTAGAATGCATGCAATAAAAAACGATGACCAGGCTGACAGCAAGTGCTGCTTAGGGTTCAGTGTTCAGTGATGGACCATTTATTTATCTGGGGACTAACGAATGAATCTAGGTTTGATTATTCTTTCTGTCCTCCTCCACAAATAGGTCCGGTCATAGAAACTCATTTATTTCTCTATATTCAAAAAACTTATATCTTTATAAAGTACATTTTGCAAATTGCAGTCTGAGAATAAAAGAAATGGACAAAATTTAACATCATTTCCCCTTTCACTACCGTTTGAAAACATTCTCAGCTTTTCACTAACAACAAAAAGATACCAAGGCACCAATTTGCTGTACCGAGTTCCACTCACATACCAAGACAAAACAGAAAAGCCGCTCCCCACCACCTTTCATCGAGCACTAAATCGGCATGGTTTTAAAATCTTTTTACTAAATAAATTTATTCGGATCTTCCTTTTCATAATCATCGCCATACAGAAATCTTTTTTTACGGATATTCTATTTAAAACAAAATACTATTTTTTTTCTAATTTCAGAAAAATGTTTCAAAATAAAATAAAATAAAATAAAATAATTGCCGAAAATTAAAATCGAATTTCTACTTATAGAATTGAATTTTGACAGTAAGCTTTTTTAAATAAACAATTTTACTGTCATTTTGGATTTTGCCTAATTCGTAATTGAGTTGACACAAACAGGTCAAACGAGTTGAAGAGTCCGAGTTTCAACTATTATACCAAGACCGAGGAATACAACAAACAACATAGGGATCCGAATATCCCATTGGGGAGAGACACGAGAGAGAGAGAGAGAGAGAGAGAGAGAGAGAGAGAGAGAGAGATGTGGGGCAAGGCACATGGAGAAAAAGGCAAAGAGACGCAGCCATGCCGTCCGTCAAAGATCAACGGCTGAGACCACACGCCGCCCATCAAATAAAGTCAAAAGAAAGATATTAATTTAGACGATTTTAATGGAACCTCACACATTTCCAGGTGGACCTGCCCCTCCCCTTAATAATTAATGATCGAAAAATTTGCTGTTCCATAAACAAATAATTTTCGTTTGGCTTACACTGTGTTCACGCCCCCTCAACAAACTTTTTTCCTTTTCCCCATCTTGATTTTCTAAAACTGTCCATCAAATCCTCGGGGAAATACCAACCGCTATTTATTATAAACAATTAGTGATAAATATTATAATAAAAAATTCATAATTATATTAATTATAAATCCACCCCAAAATAATATGTAAATAAAGGTAGTGGAGCTTAGATTTGAAATTAAACTAGGCCTAATAACAGAGACATTAGGTACTGATTCCTTTTTGGTTTGAAATCGAAATTGAGCAAAAATTGTGGACTATAGACAAACACATGCCCACCGCTGAAAATTCTAGATTCGTTCATAAATGCATTGTTGATAACAGTCTTAATCATAATCAAATTTCACACAAGAAGAAGAAGGAACCAGAATCCACTGTCACGGAATTCAACATTAAGATTAAACAGTAAGAAATATATTTCATAAAATTAATTAATTTTCAGTTACTGGTTTAGCATTATTTAGAACAGAGTTGTGGATGTTTGGATCAAAATTAAGGAGTAGAAATTATAAAATTAAATTACTAAAAATCATAGGTATGAAGATTTTGTTAATGAAAATGATCGGAATGTGATTAAATTACCTGTGTCTGTGATATCGGACGTCAAATCTTCATCCACCACCTCACCTCCGCCGTTATCGTTACTCTCCAGAGAGGTTTCCAGATTCGTCGTCTCACTCTGTTTCTCTTTGTGATTAATTTCCACGGTACAACAGCCACCGTTAGCCACCACCTGATCAATCTTCTTCGCGTCCACGTGGCTGTTCTCCGCGCTCTTCTTCTCCGAGACTTTTTTGAGCTCCAGCGACACGTCAGCAATCGAGCAGTATCTCTGCATCTGGAGAATCGGGATCCAATTCAACCTACGCCGGTGAATTGCCGCGAAGGCCGATTCGTACGCCGCCGCGCCGTCGTCGAGCTGCGTCAGGTGTCCGCAGAGCGCATCGATGATTGCGTTGGCCGCCGCGAACTCGCCGCGAAACCAGGCGAGGATTGCGTCCTTGGCGAACGCCTCCGATGCAGGCGTCATCATCGGAACCTGAGGCTGCTGCTGCTGAAGCTGCACCGCCGCGGGAACGAACGTCGGCTTCACAGCAACCCGATCTCCCTGAGGCAACACGCACGCCGCCGGCGGCATTCCGAACACTCCGGTTAGCGTAATTCTCAGGCGAAAAACAAGGAAACTTTTCCTCCGACTTTTTGAACGCGATTTTGAAATGGTAAATTCAGTATCGAATGATTCGTTACGTGTCAGCCTGTAAATCGGTGTAGACTGCAGATTAATAGAGATTTTCACTCTGAAATGTGTTTTTAGAGAGCGGAAAAAAGGTGGTGATGAAAGCGAGGGTTTGGGCCTTTGCTGGGTTTAGGTGGATTTTATATGGCTTCGCCGAGGCCTTGTGGAAATGTCCGTACCCGTGGGGGCGCGTTTGCTGACTTGGCAAAAAATAATATTAAAATATTTTTATGTATTTATTTTATATTAAAAAGGTGGCAATATCAAGAAAATATGCTAAATCAATAAATCATTTATTTTATTTCATGTGGAAGGAAAAGTAAATAATTTTAATTCCAAATTTAATCAACTATCCATTCTTTAGATTCTAATATATGGCCATTCTTTAGAATCGTCGTTCTCAATAAATAAATAATAAAAAAATAAATGTATATTTGGCCCCAAATAAATTAGAAAAAATGATTTTAGAAGGGGCAATTATGGTTTATAAGACTGCAGTTGGAACACAATGATTAATGGTTATTATGGAATAGGTAAAGACAAATCAAATCAATTTAATTAATTCAGAATCCAGACTGTAAGATTACATCTAACATGTCATCTTACTTAATCTAATTTTTATCGAACAAGCATCTAAAAGATTTTATATTTATTATTTACTTATATTCAAATATTCGAACCTTACCTAATAAATCACGTAATTCATTTTATTCTTTTAAATAAATCCCATTTCGTAATTGAATTCATTCTCATCTTGATTTAAAAGTTAAGGGAAAAAAAAAAGTAAATAAAAAGTAGTCAACATGCACCTAAAAAAAGTACACCGGAGATAAATTTAAATTATGTCATTTTCAGGCGAACTTTGATCTGGTGGAATCCTGAAATTAATTTCAAAACAATTCGAATTAAATTAGTTTTTATCTCATAGTTGACATTTGTGTCACTTATTAGCCTTTCATTTATAATAAAATAAAATAAAAAAAACCTGAAGTTGTAAATCCAATGTTTACCAAAAAAAAAAATTAATTAAATTAAAAATAGTAAAATTCATTTGTAGAATAAATTATTCCCATTTGATTAAAATTTATTTTTAGAATAATTTTATTTATTTATTATTTTTATTTTTATTGCATATGTTAATGGAAGGGGCCCAATGGGCCAGGTGGGTTGGGGTTAGGTGTGTTTGTGGCACCAAAGAGGCGCATAGCGTTGCGCACATGTAGACGATTCCATACCGCACCAACACTGGCCTATATTTAAACTACCCACTTGCAAATCGCCGGCTTAGAGCCATCTCTTGGCTCGGCTTTTTCTCTGTTAGCGCGCTGCTTTGTTCCATAACCGCTGTTTTATTTTCTACTTAGGTGGTGTTTGCAAATGCTTTTTGAAAGTGATTATTCGGTTTTTTTGTGCTCATAATCTATTTTTAGGTGTTTGCAAAATCAACTTTTGCTTTTGCTTCTCTTAAAATAATCTGTTTTAAGCTATTTTTTTAAAAGTTCCTCTAACCCTGCTTTTTCAATTTTAGTTCATTTTCTGAAATATTTGCAAACACCCCCAACTTTTAGAATAAGCACTGAAACTAACTTAGATCACAATCACTAAGGCGGTGTTTGCAAATGATTATTTAAAAGCAGAAGTTAGTGATTGTGATTTAGGTGGTGTTTGCAAATGATTATTTAAAAGCAGAAGTTAGTGATTGTGATTAAAGTTAGTTTTAAGTGCTTATTTCTAAAAGTTGGGGGTGTTTGCAAATATTTCGGAAAATGAACTAAAATTGAAAAAGCAGGGTTAGGGGTGCTTTTAAAAAAATAGCTTAAAGCAGATTATTTTAAGAGAAGCAAAAGCAAAAGTTGATGTTGCAAACACCTAAAAACAGATTATGAGCAAAAAAACCGCATAATCACTTTCAAAAAGCATTTGCAAACACCACCTTAAGTTAGTTTTAAGTGCTTATTTCTAAAAGTTGGGGGTGTTTGCAAATATTTCGTAAAATGAACTAAAATTGAAAAAGCAGGGTTAGGGATGCTTTTAAAATAATAGCTTAAAACAGATTATTTTAAGAGAAGCAAAAGCAAAAGTTGATTTTGCAAAAAGCATTTGCAAACACCACCTTTTAGTTTATTTTTCTTTCTAAAAAAGGCTTGTTACTAAAGTAAGTTGCTAGGAAAGTAACTTTATTAAGAGAATTTGTTCCAAGCTATTCACCACCAATTATTGGAATTAACAAGAATCTTGCTACTTATTTATGAATGGTAAAGTACATTTAATTACTTTTTTAATGTTTTTATTTAAATAATTTTGAAGTATAACTTTTTAACTATGTTCTAAAGGTTCCCAACAATTTCTAGAGTAGCCCAAGTAGTTTAATAAAGGAATAATAATTAAACAATTTCAAGATATACTTTTCTAACTTATGTACATAATTTTTATCAAAAAAAAAAAGCTTATATACATAATTAATATTATAAATGTGATGAACATAATGTGTCAATATGCATTCTCGGATAATAAGTTCAATTTTCTAATTATTTTTCCTTAACTTTATATTCATTAATTATGTATTGGTAATTTTATTTTTTTAATTTCATGCTTTGCCTTTAAAATACCTTTTCTTTGTTATATAACGTTTTAAAAGTTAAATTTCACAAAGGCTAAAGATAATTGTTCCCTAAAGCAAAATTTACAAATATTATTTGCCAATTGCCATGCAAAGAATAATTGAAAAAGATTCCATATCAACAAGTAATATAATATAACAATAAAACTCACTCATTTGAAATATAACTTTTAAACACTTGAGATTAAAAAAATGTAAAGTATTTTCCTTATGTTTTAAATATTTAAAAAGGAAAATGAACAGCTTAAAACCTTATAAAAATCAATTGTATTGAATGACAACAAAATTAACAGCGGCTTAGTGTAGCCGAATTAGGACAAGCCCAAGCCGACTGAAGCTGTGACAGCCGGCAGCTCAAATGCGTTATTCCGTTTCCTCTTTTGCGAATAAAGTCAACAATATTGCACATGAAGGCCGCTAACTCAAAAGTTTTACTATTTAAACCCCACACTTTTATTTATTTCCTTAAAAAAGAACAATCTTCCAAATATACACTTGGATGAATCCAATTACGAATATATCATTATTATTTATGTATTATACATAAATAATTTATGTATTATACATAAATAAGTTAAATACATATTGAATATGTGTAGATGAATAATAGATCTTTAAGTGATGCACATTTCATTAGACACCCGACAGAGGCCGCGGAACCATGATTTGTTTATAGGGGTTGAGAAAAGCAAAATCGGAAGTTTGAGAGTAACGCAATTTAGCCGAGAAATTAATCGGTTGAGGGAAGGTATGTTCGTTAGAAAGTCACCATATTTATTTTTATTTTTATTTTCAAAATTTATTATTTCCTTTAATTACCATACACTATTTATTGGATTTATGAGTTGATTCATTATTCGGATAGTGATTCCCATTTATCCATCCATTGTCTATTAGTAACTTTATATATTCACTTTTAGGGGTGATTTCAACGGTGGAGATTAAATACTGTTTTTTGAAAAGAGCCATTGACCATCCAAATTTAATTGATGAGATATTTCTTATTTTTGTAGCCTTCTCTAGTTAATAATAGAAAAGCATATATGCATTGATGTACACTAGTGGTTTCATCACCTCCACTAAAATATATGTTACAAGATAAATTTATTAATATTCCTTTTCTTTTTTATTTCATTTTTAATATTATATTTTGTTATTGTGTACTATTTATATGTCAAAAAAAAAAAATTGATCCTGTGAACAACTAGAAGTTGACTCAAACTCGAATATTCAGAAAGCTCGAATTTGTGAACTCGAGTTTGAGGTTTATTCAAATTAGCTCGTGAAATTGATATTTGTCAGCATCAACGTCACTACTCGAAATGTCAATATTTGAGTAGGAATTGGTCTCTATAAACACACTTAAATAGAAATGAGATGACGCATACAATTTTGTTTTTCTAAACTATTGACTCAATAAATTTTGTAATTGAGCAGTTGGCTATGGTGAGAAAAGTAGGCAATAATCAAAGTTTATGGCATGTAAGGTATGATTTGGCCTTTTCTTTATACAAATAAATTGGCACTTTTTCCATCTTTTGAACCAACTCTTTTGTGTTTGTGACAATCCATGTTACACGAGTCTCTCAACTTGTTGTCTCTATCAAATTTCCACCAAATTCGATTTTAAAACTAACATTAACGTAATGACGAAATTAGGACACGTTAAGTTCGAGTCACACACACACGTCGCGTTTCATAATAACTTTTGATGCCTTTTTAAAAGCTTTTTGAAAGTGATTATGAGCTTTTTTTGCTTATAATCTGTTTTCAGGTGTTTGCAAAATCAATTTTTGCTTTTAAGTTCATTTTCCGGAATATTTACAAACACCCCCAACTTTTAGAAATAAACACTTAAAACTGACTTAACTTACAATCAGTTACTTCTGTTTATAAGTTATGGATGACGATTTGACCATTCCCAAAAGTAGCACATATTTTCTGCCTCGAGAAAAATATGGGGTATGTATATGAGAATGCAAAACTTTAAATTGAGTATGGGGCGGGGATGGATTTTGCTGTACCCGCCCGTAACCCGATCCGTAAATTAACTTCGAGATATTGACGGACTAACAGCTTATTTTTAAAACCTTTATTTTATTTTTAGATTATTGTTGAGACATTCGAAATTGAATAATATATTGATTTTGATACACAATTGACACCCCTTATATTATATTATTTTTTGGGATAAGAATCAAATTTGTGCAGATTCCAACACATAACATGTATTTATGCAGATTCAAATACGTGCAAAGCACCACAAATCAATGCTTGCACAAAATATTTATAATTATTAAAATAGAAAATAAAATAGTAAACTAATGACGAAATTGATAAAAAGGATAAGTGTAGGGGTCACTTTGCAAACTGATCTATTTCATGAAAATCTTTTAGAGTGTTTCACGGGGTCCTAAAATGCCTATTCAACCAAACACTACTTTAATCGTTATTTTTTTCTTCATAAGTTTCACGTGGGTATAAATCAATTTTTAATTATTATTTTTATTTATTCCCAATTAAATTTTATTCAGTCACATACTACTAAGTAAAATTAAATTAACAGAGAAAAAATAAAAAAGCAAATTTAAATGTGATCCAAAAGATAGATTAAGCTCAGCTCAGTTCATTTAGGGATTAAAAAATGGCAGCAAAATTTAATGTGATCCCTATTATTAGCCAATCAGAATTTAATTATATTAATTAAAAATTGAAACTAACATTAATTTATTGCTGTGACCTCTGAAAGATAATTTACCTGAACAAAATGTCTCTTGCAACCCGGAAGAGAAAGAACACCCTTGGATTTTCATGGGTCGATTATTATTATTATTATTATAATTATAATTACTAGTATTTATTCTGTTTCATGTACGAGAAAAACATTTAAAAAATATTTTCTTTAATTATTTTAATACATGACAATAACAATTATAACAGGGGACATGGGAAATTGGTAAATAAAATTAGTAAATAAAAAAAGGATTCCACATGTACGAATTATTATTACTTTTAGCAAGGGGCATTGAAATCTATTGAACAATATATATATAATTAATCAAGAAAAAAATAAATTAGAAAACGTTAACCCCGAAATAATATTTAAATAATAAAAGCAAATGCATTTTTGTTTCTTCGCTAAAATCAAGAGACGGAGGTAAAGATATTAGCAAGTATGGAGTATGTAAGCATCAAATACTCGACTTCGTAACAACTAACAAGTACAATTTTTTACTTATTTGAATTAAATTTAATAGTAATTATTTATTAATGGGATCTTCCGACAGCAGCATTAATATTGACAATCAAGAATCATTTCAATTAATATTTTATATACATTATTGATCCATCGAATCAATTAAGAGCATGTTTCCATCTCACTCTCTTCCATTTTATTTATATATATAATATTCATTGAAAGGTGTTGTTACTCTTCAAGAACCCTGAAGACACCATTAAACACACACACACACACACTAATATATATATATAAAATATGTGTATGTATATTAATTCTTACTTAGTTGACATCTGAGGGAGTATGGTGGCAAATAAAAAAAAGTCAACTGTAGCTAAGATGAATAATTGCATGCGGGCATGATCCAAAAAATAAACCAGCACACACATATATATACATATTGCAAGTTGACATGTAAAAGATAATTCAAAATTATTGTCACTTGACCTTTGCCGCTATATTTCATTCGACGTTTGTAATTAACCATCTGTCACTACCTATTTTTCTAGAGAGAGAAAATTAAATTATTCAAATGTATTATTTGTTTATATATATGTTTAATCACAATTATTATTGTTTTTTTATGGATTTAAATAAAGTTAAAGATGATAGGGATAGATACATAAAATATAATTATATTATATATATGTTAAGAAGAAAGTGCACTCGTGGTGAAGCTCGTCATCGATGATCAACACTTTGATAGTGATTCATCTTAAAATTGAAAACGATCTTTTTTTTTTTCTTTTTTTTCAATTTTGATTGAAACGGAATCTTCTATATGTAGAACTCAAGATTCCTTAAGAACTAAACTTGACTTAGTGGTAGAAGGTGTTCGGCTAAGCTTGTTCTTAAAAATAGCTTGTAAGATGTTTAAGAGCTTATAAGTTCTTCTAAATTATTTGATAATTTAAAAAAAAAAATCTTTAAAATTCCAAAAATAAGCTGTTAAAGAGCAAATATTTTTTTTTAAAAGAAAATACTGCTACATCATCTTTTTATTTAAGATTTTACAATGAGTGAAAATAGCTTATCAGCTTTTAAAATAACTTATCAAGTTTATAAACTTAAAATAAGCTTAACCAAACGGGCCACTAGTAAGCTTTACTCTAATCCAAGTGGGCTGATTAAGAACTAGGCCCAAACCATGTCCTGAAATTTAGAAGCAAAGCCCATTACTCGATTTTGTAATTTAAAAAAAAGAAAAATAGGAAATTTCATTCAAACTAATTTACATTGTTTCAAGATTTATTAAAGTACATAAACAATCACAATAACACACATGCATCCAGCAAAAATCACTTCAAACTTAAAAAGTTTTATTTTCATGCAAACATTCTTGATTGAGCTTCTTAATTTGAAGCCCCTTTATCCGTCTTCGACGTTTGTCTTTGTCATTGTTGTTGTCGTTCTGATCTTAAACTTTGCTCGATTAATGTAACTCGAGACCTTATCGTTAAAACTGTCTCTTCTCGTGGCACTTTTTCGACCACCAACATTTGATGCACTACTCTTCATCTTGTCCTTAACTCGTGTGATGTAATCAGAAAACTTGTCGTCGTTGGCTTTAGTTCGTTCCGTTTTCTTAACTTGATCGTGTTTGTTATGATCACCGCCAAGAATCGCCACTTCTTTTGTAGCAAAATTTGGCGATGAGAAAAACGTAACGTTCTTGGCCTTGTTGTGAGCAGAAACGTTAGTCGGAGAAGAAGAAGAAGAATGTTCGAAGTTGACGGGGATTGTTTCGGTGATTAGGATAGGGTGGTGATCAATAATATGAGGTGGTTTGGTTGATCTGATAGGATTGATAGAGACTGCTCTGTATATTTTCTTGCACACACCTTCAGAAGTTGTGCTGCTGTTCTGTTTTTTTGCCATTGCTGCTGATTTTTGAAGTTTAGGTGCTGTGAAAAATTATATGGATTTTCTTCGTTATTTAATGACGGGGGATTAAGGACTATTTAGCTCCTTAATCACGAGGTTTTCGTGTGCTATTTTTTTCGTTTGAATAAACTTTAGGAGGGGAATTTTCACCTAAAAAAATTATTCTCAATAGACTAAGTAGAGATTCTTGAAAGACTTTCTTGCACCATTTAAAACTAAAATGCTTTACACCATTTAATTTTTCTAAGTCAGGAATCAGATTCCAGTTGTGAACCAATGAGTTTTACTTGTGGAATTGAAGTAATCATCACTGGTTCCAGGTCACATTACCAATTAGAAAGTGGAGTGGTATTGAACAAAAATGCAGCAATTATGTGCTTCAAATTATCATGTCAGCTGAAAGATTTAATCATAGTTTAGCATCAGATTCCTCTTTTATTTATTTTTATTTTTTTCGGGTCGTATTCTTCATAATTTGTCCCCTCGTTTTTGTGCAAGAAGAGTAAACGACCCTCGATATTCACAAATGTAGTGGCGTAACTATTCTCCTAATCACATTGTAAGGTGCTGTCTGTCCCATATGAAAACTCCAGGAACAGTGCAAGAGAGTGTTTTGTTTGTGTGTGTGTGTGTGTGTGTGTGTGTTTCTAGAAGACTAGAACAGATTCAAAGCAACATAAATACATACACACACACATGTGGCGCCCTTTTATTGACCGAAGACATATCACATATGTGCAAAACATGAACCCCAGAGAATTTCAGACACGTGCAAAAAAAAGACTTCGATTCTGATATTTACAATTGAACGGAAGATAAAATGGTATCAACGAAATAAGAAAAATGGACGGATACAAATACAGTCTCTAAGTCATCATGTACCATCTCATCGGTTGAAAGTCAGTGCCTGAAAGTCTTCACTACTTGATCAATTCTTCTTCGACACAATGGGCAGTTCGTCAAATGTGAAGAGCATGCCATACAACAGCACATATGACCGCACCTGAAAAGTAGATACATCATTAAACGCTTATTTAGTTTTAATTTCTAATTTAACTCGGAACAAAGCCTCCAAGAAATTCACAATTAAGGTTAACTTGAAGAGTGAACTATCCTACAAAATATTTATGGTGGGAACTTTATATGACGTCTATGCATACTCATAAATAAAGATGAATCAATTTTCATAAGCACGGGGCTAAAACAGGCATTACTGCACGCAAAACTTATCAAGAGCTTACTGGACGAAAACTGAGTTGTACTCCTGCTCCAAACATATCACGCACAACTCAGGTATAGGCCTTTCTTTATTGCTACTATCTGATCCAATCTCAGCTTCTCCATTTAGAGCTGCAAATCATAAGAGAAAGAACAAGCAGAATTTGATCAATAAGCGCGTGCGGGGACTGGCAAAACGGGATACGAGAAAGGCATTCGGCAAGTTACCTCCTTCATTTTGGCCAGCTTTTTTAGCTGCAGCATCAAGAACCCTACATGCACCATTCTTTTAGCAGCAGAAGAACAATTTTTTAATAAGAAGAAAAGAAGAAGAAAAAAAGACCCAGAAAATATACCTTTTCCTCGTTTCCCAGAGACGTCTTCTGTCCATGATATATTGGAAAGCATGCTTAGCGAGCAGATAAACCCCAAACGCCGTCAAACCCATAGAGGCATACTTGTACAATCTGAAGGAACAAACGCATAATTTATATGGAATTTGTAACATTCATGAGAGTACGTTATAGGGAGGAAAATGTTCTATTTAACTATAACTGTGGAGTTTGGGACTCTGGGCATATGTAGAGAGAACATAGAAGATAAATATACCTTGACCATTTCCCGAGATTTGCAATCAGCTGATCAATAGTTTTGTCAGTGACATAAAATGGGCCTTTATGTGGTCGCTGAATTCGAATTGATCCAATGTCATCCTTAACAGCCTGCAACATAAGAAAAGAAAGCGCTTAGCCACATAAAAGTAACTTAAGAAAGGAAGACCTTTTCAAGAATCTAAAACCCTTCCGTCACAAGCAAAACCAAAGAACATCCTCACCGTCGGAAACCCAAATCAGAAATCATCATAAATATTACCAACAAGCTAAACTTCATAATTTTCCGACTGCTCGCCATACTAGTTAAGGATGTTGCATTTATCCTCCAACCCTAAATCACTCCCACCCACCCCGAAAATAAAGGACTAACAATTGACACCATTAGCTGAATATTGAGGTTAAAAAAAGGAAAAAAAACCAGCTTAGTTTGGAGAAAAAACAGTCCTGTCAACAAGAACAGCACACCCCAAGGTTTACAACTGAAAGAGACTGATGCCATTGACTCTGATCGTGTAATTTCAGAGTAAACAAAATAGAATGCGGAATCTAACAGTCCCTTGTGCCCGTGTTGTGTCATTCTTTTCATTTTCAAACAATCTATATCCAGTGAATAGTTTCAGTCCAGTTTCAGTTTTCCAGTTGAACCATAAATGGAGAAGAATCTTTATGTGCTGTCAAGGAATTCATACCTCACCAACAACTGTCAAGGGGGAACCAGTAGGCAGAACACGTTCAATTCTCTTCACACCGAGCATCTAACAAAATAAGACATCATCATGGCAACTTGTGAGCTTGATGATATAACAGCTTTGCCATTATGAACTAAACAGCAGAGAACAAAAGTTAATGTGTGGAGAACAATCCAAATTCCAAACCTTTAGGCCTTGTAGATAATCTAAAGTTCCACGCACTAGGGATCGACCCGACTCCTCAAATACTTCACTTCCTACTGTCAGTACCAAACCTGTGGCACCACGTGCTCCAACGACATGTACACGACTAGTACCATCATCCTAGTATAAAAAAAAAAAAATACCCATCATTACATAACTCTAAACCCAAGATAAGACATGCACTGCACAAACAGCATCATTTTGCATTTCAATAAAGAGGTGTTGTTTTCATATCTAAGAATTTGTATCATGTGAAAGCAGAGCAGGGAGGCAAAACACGAATCTTACAAGGTACCAGGGGACTTCTTTGCACATGGAAAGCATTAAAGCTGAATCTTGTATCCAAGATCCTGCATCATTGTGTTTCAAGAAGTGCTGCTCTGCCTGGAAACATCAAAACAAAACTTTTTTAAGGTACATGCTATAGCATTTTGTTTCTTAATTTCCTAATGTTTTCAGAGTTGGTAGGTCCAAGTACCGTTTGTTCCACAATTACACCTCTTAAACCACTATACTCGCAATTAATTGGTGTTTCCGAACCAACCCTCCCTGACACTGTGACAACCAACGGCAAGACCTTGCTTGCAGCTTCCAATAATTGAGCTGACAAAGAAGCATAAAAAATACGAGGATCAGCAAGAAACATATAATTATCAGATATATTTCCTATAAGCATGTTGGTAAAAGCATCTCCTTCATGTTTTTTCACTGGAACCAAGACAAAGCAAAAAGTTTCTTCTGGAATTTTACTCGGTGACGACACCAAATGTATAAATCGAGCGTGAAAATAATTGAAATTCTGCTATTTCTGTAGTATCCAGTAAAATCTGGTCACAATGGTTCTAGACTACTACAGCATTGTCCCTAAATTTGCAATCAAATACACAGACTCTCACACATCAGGGTATATTAATCGATCACGAGTTCACGACCAGGGGCAATTTAACTTACGACGAAAACAATCACCAAGAAGTATCAAAATAATGCAATCCAACAGATTACAAGTCCACAATTTACTACAATAAGTAAATGCCCAAAAACTTAACCTACGAAATTAAGAGAAGAAAAGCAAAATTTCACCCACCCAAGTCCTTCAACTGATTCACTCGAGTGACAGACTTCAGTAAATCAGCATCCCTAAACAAGCAAAACACAAAATCGAAAGTTAATCAAACAATTTTCTCTATTAATTGAAAATAGAACAAACTATCCGCGAAAATATACAAAACATTTTTTTTTTTAAAGTAGACCTTCCGCTGCTTCTGCCGAGGAGATAAAGCGCAGCTGCGCTCAGACAGCACGTGATTCCACCAACTGGTATCATCTTCGAAAAATTCAGAACACACAATTTTTACGCATTCAGTCGATTCCACTGTATCAAATAAAATTAAAACCGAATATCTAGGTTTGAGAATTACAGGAACAAATTGAAAGAGGGAATACAGAGGCGTTTCAACGTTTGATTTAAAGGGAAGAACGGTTGCAGATAAATGTGGAGCGAGACGGAGATTCACATAATCCGATACCAAAACCACATTGGACGACGACGAAGCAACAACGCTTGATAAAAACGCTACTATAATTTATCTTTTCTGTTGAGACCAAGTACAAAGTCGCGTTTCATGTTTTTCATTAATTTTTTTATAGTTTTTCTAGGAAGCAAAATTTATTTGATTAAATATAACTTTTATCTTTAAACATTCAAAAGCTAATGAATACTAAACTTAGGCTTTGTTTGCTTACCCGATATCTGATTACATTGGATTAGAGATTTGATTAATTATTTAGTTAATAAAATATTTGTTTCGTTATATTAAATTTGTTAAATTATGGTATTATTAAATATGACAAACCCTCATTAGGAGAGTTGGTACCTAGCCTTTACCAATAGGTAGGGTAAAAGGTTTAGGGTTCGAGTTCCCCCTCCCCTACTTCCCCCTATAATAGACTTGGACAATTTTTTTTCCTCTTTCAATCACCGCCTACAAAATTAATTGTAGAGAGGAATGGTGCTACTAATTTAACCAAATAATAATCAAATATTAACTAAATACGAATTTCATCAACAAAATATTTTATTAAGTCTTACTATTAAGTTAATAGAGCTTAATAACACTAAGCAAACGACGCAAGTAGCTCTGAAGATCCTTAAGTTAGAGATTTGAGCCAAAGACACAAAAATGGAGTATTAGATCTTAATGACTTGTTTAACTATTACTCGCAATTAAAAAACACTTAGGTGGTGTTTGCAAATGATTATTTAAAAGCAGAAGTTAGTGATTGTGATTTAAGTTAGTTTTAAGTGCTTATTTCTAAAAGTTGGGGGTGTTTGCAAATATTTCGGAAAATGAACTAAAATTGAAAAAGCAGGGTCAGGGGTGCTTTTAAAAAAATAGCTTAAAGCAGATTATTTTAAGAGAAGCAAAATCAAAAGTTGATTTTGCAAACACCTAAAAACAGATTATGAGAAAAAAAAACCGCATAATCACTTTCAAAAAGCATTTGCAAACACCACCTTAAAGCTTATAAATTTATATTATATATAAGTTTTATATACCTTAAAATTATGAAATATTCATATTCAAGGATTAGTGATATTGTTATTAGAATTTTTATGTAGATTAGGGGGCTAAGTTTTTTCCCCCCTTCTCTTTGTGTGTGTAGTAATTAGAGGGCTTATTAGTTATATATTATATTATATTAACAAAATTGCTGTAACAAATTAGGGCCCATAAGAAAGGCCCAACGGATTATAATCATAGATCTAGTTCCACAATGAAGCCCATAAAAATCCGGGCGGGTCAAAACGGCGTCGTAAAAAACCCGAAACCCCGAAAAGCCCTAGCCAGTGGTAGTCACGTTTTTTTGGCTAAAACCCTGAACTGAACCTCCAAGAAACCTTCGACTTCTTCTTATAGCTTCTCTCATTTCTCGCTATCTATTACTATCTCACTCTGCTGCTAGGGGAGAAAAAATGGCGTCGGTGGCTGTCAGGAACTCGAGTTCGAAGCGCGTGTTCACACTCTCGCCGCGAATATACACGTCATGCTGCCGGGGATCCGCTGTCTCCTCGCCGTTCTCGGCCGCCGAATTGCCGATCGCTTCGCATCAGGCTCCTAATCCTTGGTGGAGATCCATGGCCACCTTTAACCGGACGTAAGACGCATACTCTTATTGGCGAACATTTCTATTTCTATTCGTTTTTTTGTCGATTGATCCGTGCTTAGAGTATGTATATCATGTACATGTCTAGACTTTAGTGTAGAAGATCCTTGATATCGTAGCTAAATATTGGATTATGATGATGTGCAATTTAATCTCCCTATCTCTCCATATTTTTTTTGCTCGATGAATTTTGAAGATGAGGTTCTTCATTTCTGGAAATCTGATCCGTATTAGGATAGAAGAAAGCCTGAAAATAGGAGTCTGAAAATTTACCTTCTGTAAATTTGTTATTTATATTGATTCGATTGGTGTGTTGCTTGACGCAGAAAGCCTCATGTTAATGTGGGAACAATTGGGCATGTTGACCATGGAAAGACCACCTTAACCGCAGCAATAACCAGGGTAAAGTCGGAAACAATTAGCAATGTTTAGTAACTGGAATTGACGGTTTCCATTTTGAATTTTGTTTCACCTTTCGTTTTTTGTACAAATTGTTAAGTCAATATCTGTATTTCTTTTGTTTGTATGAAGGTCTTATCAGAGGAAGGGAATGCTAAAGCGGTTGCCTTCGATGAAATTGATAAAGCCCCTGAAGAGAAAAAGAGAGGGATTACAATTGCCACGGTTGGAGTCTTTTCTGTTTGCTCTTTTATCGTTTCCACCCACTAGATTCATGTACTTCTGCACATTCCTTTTCATTCTTAATCTCAATATATATGTTGATGTTGCAGGCACATGTAGAATATGAAACCGCAAAGAGACATTATGCTCACGTGGATTGCCCTGGACATGCTGACTATGTTAAAGTGAGATTTGAAGAATACTTGTACTGATTTTAGATTAATGCAGTTATTGGTTTTTGTTATAGTCTATTTTAGACGAATTCTAGCTTTCTTTTCAAGATGATAATATTGATCTGCTCTAGAGAAGGAGCTGAGATACTAGCTAATGTGTTAATAAGTAATTCGATCAGAATAAAATCCGCAAATGCCGAGTGTCAATCACCATTTTTTTACGTAGAAGTTGTTTTTCTTGTTTATTACCACACAATCATGCTTGTTTATCTATAAACTGGTCTTGGCTGTCTCACATCCAGCCTCCCACCCCAGAATATTTGCTTGGGAGAAAATAATTCAAGATATAAAGCTTTGGAATACTGAGGTCTTATTCATCATATTGTTCTTTTTTTTAACTTCTTAGATTTACTGGTTTGACTTTTTTCTCTAGCATGGCTTTGAAATGGAGACTGGAGCTCACGAAACAAACATTTGTGTTGTTAAAGTGCTTTGAAAAAACCAAAGCATGAATTGATATTAAAATTAGAAGTCCTTTGCTTCTTGTTGACTATATTACACTAAATTTACTCTGTAAATGAGATTTTTTTAGAGGCTGGAACAATCATATTTCTTTTGAATTCAGCTCTGGGATTTTTTTTATTTAGTGAATGTGGATATTGGAATTTTATGCGGCTCTCCTTTTTTAACCATAATGCAGAACATGATTACTGGAGCTGCTCAAATGGATGGGGGTATTCTTGTTGTATCTGCCCCAGATGGACCAATGCCACAAACTAAGGAACACATTTTGCTTGCTCGCCAGGTTCTCATCTTGGCCTTGATGTTTGACTTGGATTGAATCACATAGCTAAATTTTCAAATTTTCTTTTATTTATATTATATTTTTTTTATTTTTTGTCATTATTATTAACTTTTTTTAATGAACCTTCACTCTCACTCAGGTTGGTGTGCCGTCGCTTGTTTGTTTCCTTAATAAAGTTGATGCTGTGGATGACCCAGAACTGCTAGAACTTGTGGAAATGGAACTACGTGGTAAGCTACAATTTAGTATGTGGTTTAATATACTCCTTTTTGATAGTTGCTGTAGTCTTAGATCACCATATTGTACTTGCAGAGTTGCTTAGCTTCTACAAGTTTCCTGGGGATGACATTCCCATTGTCCGAGGATCAGCGTTGGCTGCATTGCAGGGCACAAATGAAGAAATTGGGAAAAAGGCTATTTTGAAATTAATGGACGCTGTAGATTCATACATTCCAGATCCTGTGCGTCAACTTGATAAACCTTTCTTGATGCCTGTTGAAGATGTTTTTACCATTCAGGTGAGGATAACATGGTTTATACATTTTTGTGTTCCTTAAGAACTGCCTCTTGTTTGATTTTCCAGGTTTTTATCAACAGGATGCCCTTCATATATTCTTAGTTGCAGCTGCTTATGATATTAAATATATTTTCAATATAAGTAGTAACCGGCTAACCGCATATTACATTTTTTTCTCGTATTTCTTTTCATCTGTTATCACACCCCCCCCCCCCCCCCCCCCTGCGAGGATGTTGATGATGAGGTGTTAAATGGTATTTTTGAATTTGTTGAGCACAGGAATTTGTTGTTAAAACATTGTCTCGTTTGTACTTATTCTAACTTTAATATCTTATTGTTGCACTTAAAAGGGGCGTGGAACTGTTGCAACTGGCCGTGTGGAACAAGGTATAATCAAACCAGGAGAGGAGGTGGAGATTTTGGGACTGTCACAGGTGAGTAATGCTTTTACTTGGAATCTCTCGCTATATATGAACTGTCACATTTTTTGGTCACTTATGTTATGTCAGTGGTTTATAATAATTTTTCCAACAGGGTGGGGGATTTTACCTAGTATTATGTAGGCTGTTGGACAGTGTGGTTGTTGGATTTAAGTTTCTAATGATTGAATTCAATAGGCTTGAGAGTCATTGGTATCGAGCCCCTTTATCAATTTTTAGACCAAAGTGTTGCTTGTATTGAGTTAGAGCTTCCGTGCTTGCACCTACAGAAAGTGATTACAAGCTTTAGGTTCCCATTGCATGTTAAGTTGATACTTTCTTTTGTAACCGCAGTTATGGTTATGTATTGGATAAGTTTAAGAGGCTTTTATTGTCGGTTGTTAAGGGCATATATGGCAAAAGTTGGGTTTTTGTGACTCCTTAACCATGTGTTCCAATGTAAGAGATCATATAGCACTTCCACATGAATCTGTCGATTTGTTTGACTGTCGAATTTACCAGGTTGGAATATGGAACAGCCTTCCTCTTGGTTTAGTTTTTTGTCACCTTGATCCAGCTTAATTATTTCCCTGATTTCAGGAGTTCTACTGCATTTATTTGTATGGATATTTCTTGTATGTTCTTATACAAATGAGTTGAATTATATGTATCTGCTCTACCATATGCTGAATTGTCTTAGTTACAACGCTGACCTGTCTTTTTCCCCTGTAGAACAAAATTAAAACTACAGCAACTGGTGTTGAGATGTTCAAGAAGACTTTGGATTATGGCCAGGTAAGCTTTTAGTTTCGTTTTGCCTTTGATACTGTATTTTTACGTTGCAAGTGTTACAAATTTCACATTTTGTTAGGCTGGTGACAATGTGGGTCTGCTTCTACGAGGCCTCAAGCGTGATGATATCCAAAGAGGAATGGTTAGTCTCCTTCACTGGAAATCTTTTTTTCTGTTATCTCTTATATCTGTAAGACTTTCTTTGAATCACTTTAATTTGGAGGCTCTCTTCTTTATTTGCGCAAGCCTTACCTTGTATCTGCTGAGGCTTCCATTACAACAATACATACCCAAATTCCCAAGTTCAGATACTTCCTAATTTCACTGCCAGCCCACCAAATCACGTCGGTTCATGGCTTTGAATTTCCTGGTTGAAACCTGTTCTCTCACCTTACACTAGTCACGCTCATTTGTATGTTCTTGATATAAGAAAATTTACTTAGACAAATTATTTGTTTAATGCATCATGGTACGAGTTTTTAACTTTTGTGGCTACAGAACGAACGTTGATTCTGCTCAAATAGTGTACTGTTTATTTTATTTCTTATGGATCTTTTTTGTGTAGGTAATTGCAAAACCAGGCACTCTTAAAACATACACGAAGTTTGAAGCAGAGATTTATGTCCTCACAAAAGAAGAAGGTGGTCGCCATACCGCCTTCTTTTCGAACTATAGACCTCAATTCTATATGAGGACCGCTGATGTCACTGGTAAAGTCGAGCTGCCTGAAAATGTGAAGATGGTTATGCCTGGTGACAACGTGACTGCTGTTTTTGACCTCATATACCCAGTCCCTCTCGAAGCAGGTATGTCTGAGTTTTTATAATAAATCATTAGGAAAAATAAATATCAATCTGTTTATGTACTTGCTTGAAGAAATACATTAGTTACATCTGTTCTTGCTATTTTGCTTAATATAGGACAAAGATTTGCCCTGAGAGAAGGTGGACGAACTGTGGGTGCTGGAGTTGTTTCGAAAGTTATAAGTTGAAATAATGGTTTCCAGGCAGTTTAATGTGCCCTTTTGTCACGAGAAGAGGCTTTGAAAACGAAGAGATTATTGTTTCTGCGGTCACTAATTTAATTTCTGTTGGCTGATAATCTCACCGCTGCAAAATGTTTTTTCGTACATTTCCCAGATATTCTGCAAGGGTAATTGAGAAGAATACAATATTGGTTTTTTAGTGACTGGCTTTGTCCATAAAGTTCTCGTGTATTCTTTTCATCTGTATCAATAATTAATTTTGTTCTGCGCTCGGTATTGTTACGAATTGCTTTGCCGGGCTGACTAAATGGCAGTGAATTTAGGACATTTCGCTGTTCATGTGTGTGAAAACCACACGATTCAAAGCCTGAGAGTTTAAAATAGTTGTAATGAAATTCCGGTTTCGTTGAATATAGCAGCACCTTTTAGCACACACCTAAACGATCATCAAAGTCGACAAATCTATACTAAACTCAGCAGTTCGAAACTATATTATTTTCACAAAATCTAGTCTGAATGACAACAAAACTGAACCCAAAAATGAGCAAGTAACAAATTGCACTCTCAATGAACAAATCCATAAGCACAACTTAACAGTCAAAACCATTTCTCACTAAATATACAATCAAGAATATATTATGTACTCGTTTCAAGCAAACGAAGAACATCAATCACGCGACCTTCAGCACCACCACAGCCATCAAAGCCGCAGCTCTAAAGTAAATATCCTTCAAATTCCTATCCAAATGAACCATCATTTCGTCTTCCTTTTCACCCAACTTTCTAGAAGTTTTCGTAATAGAGATAAGTGTATCTCTCAGTCTATTAACCGCCCAAGAAAGCCAGACGAGCCCTAAACCCAAACCGGTGGTCAATAGCTTGGACCCACAAAAGGGCACTCTGCTGCAAACCACTCTGCATAAAATGGATAAAATTACGGCAATGCCAGTGCCAGCTATGCTGGCTGAGAATTGGGTCAGAAGCTGAGGCAGCTGTGGACCGGATTTCTTCAGGGACATAATCGTCTTTTTACCCTCCTGCTGGTTCCTGTCGACGATTATGGATAGAAGACTTTCGCATGCATGCAGGTAGCTGTTGCCATAGGTATCTCTGTCTTTACCTATTCTAGTACTTGTCTTCTTCTTGTGTGGTGTCTTTTCCTTCACTTTATCATGGCTGTAATGAAAATAAATTGCATTAACATATTAACCACTGTACAAAACTAGATGTTTAAAAGTATTAAAGACGAGAGAGCATTTCTTACCTATTCAGAGACGTAACTTTCGCGTTTGCAAGCTTTGATGCCTCGGTATTAGCACGTGCCCTTCTTCTCCTGCCGAACGAAATAAAAAACAAAAAATGAGAAACGCGCGAACTGTATCATGCAAAAAATAAAATTGGAAAGTATTTGAGACATCAATTTCAGCAGAGTAAGCATATGATAATGTACTTGAGAACAACTAGTTCCTCGATTTCAAAAATAAGTGTTGATAAAGGTAAACACACACGGATTAAGAAACCAAATAAACACCCTCCTAATTAATGGAAAATCCCCAAATCGCCCTTTACAAACCATAAAGAAAGATAAATTAGTTGTACACAATGAATGAGCTTGAACAATCAATGTATATGTGAATCTCAACGATACATTTTCAACGAGCATTTTCAAGATTTTCATTAGGGTAAGGGGACTTTTTTAAGAGGGTTGTTCTACCAACTTCTTTTGATGAACAAAAAATTTCAGTGGAAATATTTACAATAAAAATAAAGGAAAAAACGTAAATACCTCTCAAAGTAAGGGACCAGCATTGTCTGCTTACTGGATTTATTCGTGTTCTTGGATGAGTAAAAGTCGGAAATAACCGAAAGCATATCGTTCGTCTCAGTGCCAGTATAATTATACGGGACTTGTCCATCACCAGAATAATATGCTTCCCCCACTAAGTCCAATAAAGGCTCGTTGAAATAGAGTTCCTTATTTGGATATATAAGATAAGGCAGAGCCTGATCATCAAATTGAGGTCCCATTATATCATACAGCATTGACAAATCCACTAAACCCCCAATTTCTTCGACCGATTTAGATGCAAGTAACTTCAATATCTGCTCGTGCCTCGTGCATCGATCAACGATCCCATAGCTAAAATGAATCGAATCTGGATGTGTTTCTGTCTTGAAAAAATTAAAGATTAAATCAGCGGTGGAGAGATTGAATAAGTTCGATCTTGACGTAAAAAAAAAGAAATAAAATACAGAGAAATTTTGAGATGGATGAACCTTGAAAATCAATGAGTGGAGGCCTTTTGGAGATCGAGTCGATTCCGACAAAGTTATTGGAGTTGAATGATTGATTTTGCTGCAGATTTAAATTAAACGAGACGGGATTGACTTGATGCTGATTCAACCCGTGATAAGGGACGAAAGGTTGAAAATCCTGAAACATAATGAAAAGGGAAACAAATTAAAAAAACGAGCTTCGTAAGAAATACGTAAAACATCCCGAAAGACGACATACATAATCAATTGTTCAATACTAGATATACTTAAATGAGAAGAAAAGGAACATCTAGGGATGAAAATCAAATCAAAATACTCGATACTCATCGATTCAAGAAAATTCGTTAAAAAGTCGTGTTTAATCTCGATTCGTGAACACAATAAACCAAGCTTGAACACATATTTTTGTTCGACTAGCTTTGAAAGGTCGATGGAAAATCCAAGCGAACGTGAGCAAATACGTGGCTCGACTCAGATTCGTTTACGTTCATCACAAGCATGAAGATCTCACAATTCTAGCCAGACAGAAAACAACATCATAATCGTATAATTGTACCGCAAACAATTTACATAAAAAATGATGAATCCACGATGAACACAAACATCAACACAGTCCATGCTATATTTCAATCACTAGAAGTAAAAGCAACCCAATTCATTTCTACAAAAACTCACTCATAAAACACAAACCCAATTAAATTAATTACAAAAAAACCCCACAAATCCAGTTAATAAAAGCCAATATATAAAAAATATTAAATGAATAAATAAAAAAAAACTTGCCTCAGAAACCCTGTTAGAAACAAGTTCTGGATGGAAACCACCTAATCCAGGAGGGTAGCCATGTGACGCCATCAAACACAGCTCCACCATTTTTTCAATCTCACTTTCTCTCTCTACAACAAGAGAAACCCAGTTTTGAGAAATCCGATTAGATTCCAATAAACAAGATTTCTCTTGACATCTTATTAATATAAAGGGGTCATTTTGATTATTTTTCGGCTTATCCTCCCCTGCACCTCAAATTTCATCCAGATTTTTATTCCCAAAACAAAAGGCCCTCTTTAATTTGCGAATTACTGACAATGGAGAAAACGATTGGAATTTGGATTCTAATTTGTGCCGATTTTAATTAAGAGTTCGTGTGGCTGGGCTGCTTTGGGATTCCAGGTTGGAATTCTGAATGCGGACAAGAATTCCTCTGTTCCGTCAGCTTTGGACTTTTGTGGCTAGTGTTTATTCTTTTATTAATTAGGTTTAAATTACACTTACTACCCTTGAGATTTGATGTAATTACAACTAGACCTCTCTAATTTAAATAACTACGCCTGCCTCCCTTGATGTTGATGTTAACTAACACTAAACTAAACACATTTAATTGTTTATTTTTTTGAAATTTTATTTTTATTTCTAACTAAATAGTGAGTAAATGACTTCTGTCAAGTATAATTTAACTAAAATTAAATTTAAATGCAATTGATAATATTTTTATTTTTAATCAAATATTTGTTAAAATAAAGAAAATGATAATATTAAGAATAATGGAAAATACGGTTGCCCTTTTGTGTGTAAAATAAGTTTTTTTCACTACATTCCAGTCTTGTTCATCTCGTGCTGTAATACTAATATCTCTACCTTGTTATTGCATTTTTCTTCTCTAAAAAATTCAAGTCTAGATGAGAAAGCATAAATAAAAAAAATTAAGTTCTCAAGTTTGAAAATTATAGGGGTTTTTCATTAAAATTTATTCCATATTCAAAATATCATTCTAAATACAACAATATATTCTTGATAAGTTGGAATTTTATATATAATATGACACTAATAATAATAATAAACGAATAAAAGAAGGGGGGAAATAAAATATGGGGCTAATATGCAAATACCAAAAGAAGGTGGACTTTGATTAATTGTAATTTGCTTTTAGTGGAAAAAGGTAATCTTGAAATCAAATCGCGAAGCTTCCATTGATTATACGCGCGTAAAGCTCCGTGGATGGCGCGTGAGCTTGTGTTAGAACCACACCTTTGAAAACGAGTGACCACCACAAACTCTTTGCGGGTCCCACCTCAAAGTCCCAAAGAGATGGTAATTGCATCCCAGTCCTCTCCAAGTCGGCCACTAGTTCAAAGGCCCACTTTTAGACGGGCCTTTGTGGGCTGAAAGGCCCACTTACTCACGGGCCTTTGTGGGCCCACTAGTTGACAGGCCCACTTTCCGCGGGGCCTTAGTGGGCCCATTTTTTTGCGCACTATTTAGAGCCCGTTTGGCTAAGCTTATTTAAAACATCTTATAAGCTCCTACATCTGATAAGATGTTTTAGGAGCTGATAAGCTGTTAGATCTTATTTTAAAAATTATTTTTTAAGGTGTTTGGATATGTAGCTTATAAGTTACTTTTAGTTTTTATAAGTTGTTCAGGTGTTTGGAAATAAAAGGTCTGTTTATTGCTATAATGACAAAAAAGTACATGACGCGAGTAGAATTGTTGACTCAAATACTTTTGTTCATAAAATATTATTATAATATTTACAAATTATTTTTTTAAATAATAATAATAATATAAAATTATATAATAATATAAAATAAAAGTTGTAAAAGAAATATAATTTGTTTTTATAGATGAAAGAAATATAATTTATTATGGAGATAATAAGAATATTCGTGTATTTTTATATACATATAAAATATAAATAGTGAATAATGTTTTTACAATTATTATGATAATTACGATAATTATATTTAACTAATTATTAATCTTGATTACAATAATACGTTGTTTTGATAAAATATAAATACTATTAGTATTCATGTAATATAATAAAGTATTTGAGGGTAATTTTGTATTTTTAAGTGTTTTAGTAAAGAAGCAAATAAGATCTTAAAGAAAAAAGGTGGGGTATAGGTACTTTTTTAAAAACATCTTATAAGCTCCCTAACAGCTTATTTTTGGAAAAAATAAGATCTTTTGCAATTTTTTTACCAAACACCTTTTAACAACTTATAAGCTCCTAAACATCTTATAAGATGTTTTTACGAGCTTATAAGCTTAGCCAAACAGGCTCTTACTGACGTGTCAAAGAAATACAATGTGATGATTTTTAACATTTGTTCAATTTATTTATTTTTATGGATATTTTAATTCAATTTTCACGACTGGATTCGATTTATTGCCCCGTCGATTCAATTCTTTGAATAGAATAATATTAAGTGCTAAAAATTCATATTGAACTTATTAAGTCTTAAGATTAAACATATAAATAAAATAAATAAACATACGTACATAACTACATAAAGAGTTTATTTTAACTGTTAAGTTGATTCGAGTAGATGTATTTTTCAAAGTACGAGTGGACAAATGTTATATACAAGAGATAATATATCGGGTTAAAAGTGTATTTACCTACTAAAATGTGTATAGTAAAAAGAACTTATTATAAGTAACGTTATTTTTTTTTGATAGTAAATAACATTAATAAATTAAATAAAATTAACGAGTCAAAAAGTCAAGGAGTTAAGGAGAATTAAATATTATCCAGCTTGGATTTTCTTCCAAAAGCCCCACTATGCTCCAACTACTGGAAAAATCAAATTAAAAAAAAGCAGGGTTCAGAAAGCCAATCATATTGTGCCAAGTGGAACGGTGTAGACTTCGGTTCACCACGGTGTTTGTATTCTAATATTTCTCAAAACAATAATTTACTGCCACATGACAGCTATAAATAGCGGTCGTCATTCGCTGTCAGCTCGTAATCTCTCTCTGTCCATACGCTCTCCTCTTTTTCTCTCTCTAGAAAAGCTCCCTCCTTCGTCGTCGTTCCCAATTCGAAACCCTAGAAATCGAGGAAATTTCTCTCGTGAGTTTCACAAACTTGAGATTTCCTCGCCCTTCGCCCCCGACCAGAAAACCCTAATCCATATCAAAGGTCGACGCTTGAATTTCACCCAGATCTGACCCAAATCCCCCCAAATTGCACCCTTTCAATTTCAAAATTCGATTTGAACGAAATAATCCCCAATTCATTTCGATTTAATTCTTTCAAACAAATTTGTGTAGAACATATATGGTGGGAATGGGTAGGGTTTACCAGGAGACAGCGAAGCCCTCGTCGTCGTCGGCCGCCCCATCCACGCCGGCGGTGACCACTTCCATATCAATATCGGAGACCGTTAATGGGTCCCACGATTTTAAGATCACGGGGTATTCTTTGTCGAAGGGAATCGGGATTGGGAAGTACATAGCGTCCGACACATTTATGGTTGGTGGGTATGCGTGGGCCATTTATTTCTACCCTGATGGGAAGAGTATGGAGGATAACGCTACATATGTTTCGCTTTTCATTGCGTTAGCTAGCGAGGGCACGGATGTTAGGGCGCTTTTCGAGCTGACTCTTTTGGATCAGAGTGGACGGGAGAGGCACAAGGTTCATAGCCATTTCGGTAGGGCGTTGGAAAGTGGGCCGTATACTCTTAAATACCGAGGCAGCATGTGGTGGGTTTTCTCCTCTTTTGTTTGCCAGTCGTTGTTCTGGAGTTTTAAAATATCTGAAAATGCAAATTATCATGAATTTCTCTTGTATAGGGTGTTTGAGTTGCCAATTATCTTGTTGAGTATGGTTGCAGCATTCTTATTATTCATTTTTTTGGCTGGGCGTCTGTGTTGTAGATATCGATTTTGTACGCTTATATTGGAACTTGATGATATTATCTCGACAATGTGTTTTATATGACATATTTGTCTGTTCATTAGATGTTATAGATTAACTATGTTCTTTATGAAGAGATGCCTGCCTCCTGCAAATGTGTTTTTTGTATTTGGGAAGTTCGACCCTTCTTCGAGCGTACCGTGGTAGTTGTTCTTCGGAAGTTCAATCCTCTATGTTTGTGGGGCAAGCCGACAAGGGTGTGAATGAAGTACTTAAGTCCTATCTGTGACTACTATGCACATTAATATGCAGTTATCTTAAATATTGGCTATTTTTTTTTTTTTGTAAATGTGCGAGCATGAAAAAATCATGTCCACTAATTCTTAGCAAATTTGCCTGCTTTAAATTTTCTTGGTTTCATGAGACTTTGCAAATTATCTATTTTCCCTTGAAAATGGATGGTGATGAATGTTTGCTGGTAAGAATTGATTATGCTATCTAGCGGTAGTGTAAACAACAACATATGGCTATTTACTTCATTTTTTTGGTTGACATAGTCTACTTTTATTTACTTGTATATGTAACATATCCAGATAAATGCAGAATACCTTCATGTTTTCAGATTGTTAGTAAAAATAAATTGGAAATGCACATGCCAAATTGTTTGAAAAGAGATGGTCAGAGTAGTGTAAAGCTTATCTTCTAGTAGGAGCATGATATAGTATTATCTGATTGACTCTTGATCTTAACAGGGCTACCTAAAAGACATTAAGGTAGATAGTATAACATAAAATTGTTTTGGCTGCAGGGGATACAAGCGTTTTTTTAAGAGAACGGCTTTGGAAACATCTGATTACCTGAAAGATGATTGTCTTCAAGTTCATTGTTGTGTTGGCGTCGTTAAGTCTCACACAGAGGGGCCTAAGATCTACTCAATACCATTGCCCCCATCAGACATCGGTCAGCATTTCGGGCAGCTGCTGGAAAGTGGAAAAGGCTCTGATGTAAATTTCGATGTAAATGGAGAAAATTTTTCTGCTCACAAGTTGGTTCTTGCTGCCCGGTCGCCTGTATTCAGAGCTCAATTATATGGGCCAATGAAGGATCAAAATACACAGTGTATAAACATTGAAGACATGGAGCCACCCGTCTTTAAGGTTTCTTTACAAATTCCTCTATATTCACAAAATGGAATCTATTCGTCCAATTTAACTATTTTATCACCAAGTCTTAACCACTAAGGAAATATTGTGAGATACATTATAGTGCAATCTCTGAACTTCCATTTGATTTTGTTTCTGCATCAAAGTGGTGGACATTCGTTTTGGGATGCAGGGGGAGCTTTTTTTATTTTAGGGAATCGGGGTCCATATTTTTTGGCCTTGTTTAATTTATGCAGCTTGGCATTTACTAACCTGGATAACTTGTCTCTGGTTCAATTTTTTGCATTGTCTTTTGCCTAGTGAGGGTAAAGGGTTGCAAACCTCGTACACACACACTACGCTTACTTGTTTACAGGTTCTGCATGCATATGTAATGGTTGTCTTCCTTGCAGGCTCTACTTCATTTTATGTACTGGGATACACTGCCCGACTTAGAAGAGCTTACGGGAATGAATTTGCCATGGGCCGCAACCATGATGTCACAGCATCTACTTGCCGCTGCTGATCGATATGGTTTAGATAGACTCAGATTACTGTGTGAGGCCAAGCTCTGTGAGGATGTTGCCATCAACACTGTTGCAAATACGCTAGCCCTTGCAGAACAACACCACTGTTTCCAGCTCAAATCTGTCTGTCTCAAATTTGTCGCACTTCCTGAAAATCTTAGAGGTAAAATTTTAATTAAAAAAACAAGATCGTAAAAGGATTAACGAGTTGGAAATGAAATACGACTGATATAAGTTGAAATTTGTTGCAGCTGTGATGCAGACCGACGGTTTTGAATACCTTAAAGAAAGCTGCCCCCATGTGCTTACAGAATTATTGGAGTATGTCGCTAGGACAAACGAACACTCTATTGCCATGGGCAAGCAAGGAATTGAAGCTATTCTCGATGGAAGTGACGTTAATGGTAGACGCGTTAAACAAAGACTATAAAAAAAATTGCTAGTAACTTTCGAATAGGTGAGAATGAGAATAGCTTAGACTATCCTTCTTTGAGCTTCTTCTTATTAGAATTTTTTCCCACCCCACCCCACCCCACCCCAGAGTCCTGTTCCCTCTTTTATTACACTCTTGTTCAATTGAGAACATGTTCATGTAGTTGACATCTTGTGTCTGTAATCTGATGTACAAATTTGTAATTTGTGTATGGTTTCCCCTCTTGGCTTGTATGCTTCAATTGACAGATACTGTGTCTGGAATTTAGTATTCGGAATTTTTAATATTGCAAAATTTTAGGCCTTTTCCTTTTTCTCCTTTCGATAAAATTGGGGATTCGCATCCAATCATATACGTGCATTGCATGGTAACCTTACGCTCTCGTACAATTTGAACTGCTAATTCTGATCAATATCTATACTTCGATAACAGTACACCAACTTAATTTGCTTATGATTGAAATCATTTGTCTTTGATGAGAGGGGTATGAATGAAATCATCTCTCTTTAATGAGAGGGGTGTGAGGTAATTTTACTGGCTAAGGATGAAAATTGAAACGTAAATTTTGAATTCGTCGATTTTGATGCACAATTTTTTTTTTTTTGGAATATTACTTTTCCGGATCACTATTCAGAAATATACTACATTTCGATTTTCGATAAAAAGTTTAATTTCTAAAATCTCCGAAAAGAAGTTTCTTCATTCAACTACATTTACAATATCAATTTTATTATGTATTCCGTGTTATAGTTTAATTAACTAAAAATAATAAAAAAAAAAATCGATTTTTGTCGGTTCCTATCCAAAAAAAAATCCGGTTATGGAATTTTTTTCATTACAAATTATCAATTTTCCATTTTGAAACAGAATTGAAAGAGAAAGATATTTTTTTCCCAAATAAATAATTTTAATTCAATTTGTCCATTTTCACCCTATTTAATAGAATATATCGATTTGGTGAGGACTTGACCGAACTCGGAACAAACTTTTAGGTCTCTTCTGCAAATTCGGGACTCTTGATTTGTTTACAAGGGTTTTTGTTCACGCGCATATATAGTAGCCCCCTTAATTATCAAGCTCCCTGCTACTTTCGACACTGCTTCATCTTTTCCCGCACGAAAAAATGGTAATGTATACTTCTTCTCGTGCTTCCGCCGATTGGGTTTGCAATTTGAAATTAATTTCTCTGTTTTATTTTGCTCAATTTTGCAGTTGTTCTTCTCGTACTTCAAAGATTTGGTGGGAAGAGAAGTGACGGTGGAATTAAAGAACGATTTGGCAATTCGAGGAACTCTTCATTCGGTGGACCAGTATCTCAACATTAAGCTGGAGAATACTAGGGTTGTTGATCAAGACAAGTACCCACACATGGTATCTTTTTTTTTTTCCTCCGTACTTCTTAAATTGTTCTAGGGTTTACGATTTTTAGATTTTGAAATTCACCGCTGATGCTGCTTTGGGTGTGTTTGTAATGAGGATTTCAAATTAGGGTTTTGAAAGTCCTGATTTTGTTGGTTTGGGTTTAATTAGGGTTTTTAGGGTTAATATTTTTTGCCCAATTTTGGTTTTCTTCTGGTGTATTTTGTGGCTTGCACTTGGAAATAGGGTTTTGAGGGTTTCCAATTCAATGGATGCTTTAGTGAAATTCTTTTCGGGATCAATGTTTGAGTTGTTTTATGAAAACATTGGAACATGATTTTGAGTTTCAAGAGTTTAAAGCAAAACCTGAGGTTGATTTCCTTTCGTTATGATCCAGAGTCATACATGATATGGATTGTGAATTTAAGTTTTAATTGATTCAGTTCTTGGAAGCCACTCAATCCTAAAAATATCAAGTTATACCACAAAGTAGATGCTAATTTCGATATATAAGAACTTAATTAGAACTTCTTCAAGCTCTCAACCTAGGTTTTAAACTTAATTTGAAGTATTTGTAATTGCAAGAAGTTACTAATCTCTTCTACCCTAAATTCCTAACGAGTGTTAGATAATTCTAGTTACTCTATCGAAGTTTAAAGTATATTAAGGAAACTAAATTGTGTATACAGCACTGTAAGCTTTCTAATCTTTTTATGTTATAATTTGAAAATTGTGTCTGTACTCTGTATCAAGAACATACGAGGGCACAAAACATCTATGTTACAAAATTACTCCCCCCACCCAAAAATCAGCATCTGAATTTTTTACCCAGTCTTCTTTTTCAGTTCTATTTTCAATTTGGTCTTGGCTCCTTAGTCATAAGTTATCTATTCATGTCTTGTAATAAGCATATACTTAAGTATCCATTATGCATACGCACTTGCGATCTATCAACTGCCCTGCATACCTTATTGATTTCTTTTGAATTTGGACTCGTGAAATTTCAAATAGTAATGTGTATTTTTATTAAAACGTGGCAGCTTTCTGTGAGGAACTGCTTCATCAGAGGATCTGTGGTGAGGTATGTCCAATTGCCGCCTGAGGGAGTTGATGTTGAACTGCTTCATGATGCCACCAGAAGAGAAGCAAGGGGCGGCTAGTTAGCCCTTTTCGTCTCACATCGAAGAAGTAATGGTTTCTTCATTGGACAATTTGGAGAACTTTTTTTTTTTTTTTTTGTATTACTAAGAGAATAGTTCTTGAAAATATCTGCATCTGCTGTGTGGTAATCATTTGTTTAACGGGGGTAAGTAAAACCATTTCGAACGAGGCGCAATTTGATCGGTGTTTTGACTTCTGTGTAGTTTAGGCAAGACTTTGATGACTGATCTTGCAAGTTCTTGTACTATAAGTGACATTGTGGCAATGTGATTGTTTAATTTCAGTCCTTTATTTTCGGACAAATTTAATCTGCAGCCTCACCAGGATTTTATTTTTCGAAATGGTACACAGGGAAACAGTTTCTTCGATGATACGAGCACTTCAATGCTAATCCTTCGAGCTCTTTTTATTTATTTATTTATATTTCTTTTGATAATAAATCTTGCACACTCTCTAATCTACAAACAATACAAAAGAATAATTACTGTTATAATGTAGTCTGAATAAATTTGATTGCATCAAGATTTGATGGTTAATCTCCACAGCAAGAATTAACATTTTGGTTAATGAATGGGATTAATTCTGGATTTGAAGGAATTATGGGTGGTAAATCTTTCATGGTAAACATAATCGGCAGTTTCTATATGGATTAAAGATTCCAACTTAATTCCCTTAATTGCCATTCTACTATTTATGGGATTTATTCTGTGTATCACTGAAACCATCTATCTTCTTCATTAATTCATTTTTTTTTCTGCTTAATTGTTTCTTTCAAATGGAATATCAAGGTTTCGTTCCTCCTCCGGTCGGTAACTCTCTCTCTCTCTCTCTCTCTCTCTCTCTATCTCTCTCTCTCTCTCATGATTCTCACAGATTAATGAATGATCTCTTTGTGATGTTGCACAGATTATTGTTTTGAAAGTCACCGACATTTGTTGCAAACAATATCAAAAGAAATTGAAGAAAGAACTTTCAAAACTTGATGGTACATACATAAATCCTCCAATTACTATTTTTTTTATCAAGTTAGATAATAAAATTAAAATTCTCTTTTTTTCACCACAACTAGGTGTGTATTCAATCGACATAAATCCAGAAAAGAGCCTTTGTTCAGTCAGAGGCAAAGTGGATCCCCAATTAATACTCAAAGCAGTTTATAGAACCGGAAAATACGCAGAAATTGTGTGCTCCGACAGCACGCCGTCTAGTTCCGAAAATCGTAGAAATCCTTATCGGAAGGAAAATAATAACTGCCACAACAAGGTTGGAGAAGAACAAGAGGAGGAAGAAGTGCACAGGTGTGAAGATTATGTGCCGCCGTCGCCGATCGACGAACCAATGTGCAGAGATTACTACGGCAGAAGTCATGATCGGATGAGGCCGAATGTTCGTGGTGGTGCGCCGCATGCAAGTGGATATTATCCAGGCTTCCACGGCCGATTTCCGCACCCCCACCGTGCGCGCGGGCCGACTATGTATGATCCGCGGTGGTTCGAGGAGGCGCCGCCGCCGCCTGGATATGGATTCTTCTCCGGGAGGCATTGGCCTGGATTTGGAAGCTACGGTTCTTTCGGTTATGAGAGTGGTGGAAATTGCATCATAATGTAGGGATTTGCTCATTTGATTAGCTATGAAATTAATAAATTAAATAAGATTATATTAATTTTGTAATTTGTACTAATTAATTATTTAATTTGATTCGTTAAACTTTGGTATCATTTATTACAGCCTCATTGGATTATCTATGAAATTAATGTAAATTAAATAAGATTATATTAATTTTGTACTAATTAATTATTTAATTTGATTTGTTAAATTTTGGTATAATAATATTTAATTAGAAAAAAAAATAAATTGAATTTGGTCGTATATAAATGTTTTCCGTTGGAAAATAAATATTAAAAAACGAGAGTCCGAGTTGCGAAATATATCGGCTGCTAGGTGGCGTCTACACCTGTCAGTAATTTCCTGAGCAGCCATCGCAGCGATGGAATCCGGCGACGATCCTTGCAAAACCCTAGCGAAATCAAATACGAGGTCGTTTTTCTTTCCCTTTGCTTCCTTTCTCCGGCTTATTTATACTTGACAACTGCGTGTAATTCCAGAAGAAAAAAAATCATTTTGAAAATGAGAAGAAATGGCAAACTTTTATCTGCATTTTCCTTATCTGACGATTGCAATGTTGAATTGCTGGATAGTTTTTTTTTTTTGAGTGTTTAGCGCATCAATAATCCATCGGAGAACTGTTTCAATCGCCTTCAACATTGTTAGTTTTTACTATTATAGAGTCGTACCTATGGAAGAAGGCTACGTAGGTTGCTTTGGGGGGTGGTGGTGGCTGGGGTGGGGGTTGGCTACTCATTACTCAAGTAGGCTTTCACACTGCCATTAGGGAAAGAAATGCCTCTTAATGCATTGATAGATCTCTATTGTACCGGAATTAGGCGCGCGTATTTTTGCTGTCGTCAGAAAACCGAAAACCTATAAGACGGTTGATCTTATTAATTAGTGATTCCCTCAGTATATCTTTTTGTTGAATCGACGGCTTACTAAACAATAAGTCATTCGATATCAGTTCTGGTTCTCTAAATTCCGTGTTTTGTTGATTTCCTTAGTTGTCCTTACGGAAAAAAGTTAATGCTGTAAGTTACTTTGGTTGTGCGTGCCACGTTTCAGTTCTTGTTGTGATTACCAATTCTTAATCATCTGCTATGGTGTTTTTGAGTCCCATTGAAGAGATTTAAATTGGATCTTCTCCTGATTGGTGCTCCTATTGTTTTCATTATTCATTTATGATTTGAAAAATTAAGATTTGGAAATCCTCAAAACTCGTGCCCAAACACGATTTGACTGTCACAGTTTTTACTAAAAATGCAAACATATATTACTGCTTTTGAAATTCTTCTTCTAAAATACATCTATTTGAATAAATGACTTGGATGTAGGATTTGACTGCTACAGTGAACTTTGTCTCTCCCTATCTACAACTCAAAATACAAATAAACATTGTTTTATTATTTTTTAAGACCATTTCCGCTTCGGATATGTTTCCAAACATAAGAATTAAAATACGTAAGATTTGCATGAATCGGTTTTTGTAGTTTGTACTCAATCACCTCTACATACTTCGACCATATTAGTTTTATTCCGTTGTTTGGATTAATTCCCAAGCCTATCGACCAGGCTTACGTTTGATTCTGATTACAGGCACAAGTGTGCAGCATGTTTCAAGCAGTACAAGAAAAGGGAACATCTCATTGCACATATGAAAATCTCTCATCACTCTGTTCACCAACCTAAATGCGGCGTATGTCAAAAACATTGCAAATCCTTTGAATCATTACGGGAGCACTTAACTGGTGAAATATGTTATTGTAGTTGGAATATATGTCAAATATTGATTATGGTTCCCTTTTTTTCATCCTATCACCATTTTTGTTTTCTGTGGTAATAAATAGGTCCACTGGCTAAACGAACATGCTCGGAAATTTTTGCTGAAAGAGGTTGCAAGTTCTGTATGAGAATTTTCGACAGCCGAGTTTTCATCGATGAACACCAAGAAATGTGTTGCTTACCTGCCCCTGTTCCTCTGGTGAGTTTGAAAATTGTACTACTTTTACTACCATATTAATTAACTAGAATGTCCATTTTAGGTAATATAATGACCTCCTTGCATTACTTAGTGCGCGAATATTTACTTGATTTTCTTACCATGTCAAACAGGGAACAATGGAGATGACTTGCACAGAATATCTAATTTATGATCCTCCAGAAAACATCGAATACGGCAGTGAAGCTATTGCTATGGATTGTGAAATGGTTGGTGGTGGAAGTGATGGAACGCTCGATCTCTGCGTGAGGGTATGCCTTGTTGACGAGGACGAGAAAGTGATTTTCCACACTTATGTACTACCTCCAATTCCTGTTACTAACTATAGGTATCATTTTTTTTTTTTTTTTTTTTTTAAATTCTTTTTCGTATAGGCATCAATGATGCTAGTTCTAAAAAGGAATTTTTCTTTAGGTATGAACTCACAGGTATCAAAGAAAGCCATTTGAGAGATGCCATGCCGCTCAAGGAAGTCCAAGAAAAGATTCTCCAGATTCTCTACAACGGAGAATCGATTGGGATAGTACGCTTGAACGGTGGAAAAGCTAGACTTCTTCTAGGTCATGGCGTTCAGCACGATCTAGACTGCCTAAGAATGCATTATCCCGATCATCTGCTGAGGTGAAGTCAATCTGTGGTCGTTAAAGGTCGTTTTACTGCTTTCGTGAACCACAATAAACTGATTCAGAATTTTTTCAAGAAGTAGATGTATGGATAGGATTGAAAAAAATTATTTATTTTAGACTGTAACATAAGTTCCACTCGAGGCTGGAGTACATTATAATCGTAATTGTGCTACAATAGTCAGTAACGTTTACACTTCGTAAAAATAAGATTATTATTATAAAATAAAAATCACTTTTCCAACATGCAGGGATACAGCAAAGTACCCTCCTTTAATGAAGACGAATCTCGTGAGCCACTCACTCAGATACCTAGCCAAGACACATCTTGGGCAAGTTCTTCTCTCTCTCTTTATTATTATTACGTCTTCCTTACAGATTGTCAAGTTATAATTTATGCATACACCATTTATATCTCACATGCACGCATAATTACTTAAAGTAAAAAACAATCATCTCGAGCAATAATGTGTTTTCAATTGCTTAAAATTGAATTTTGCTAGAGCTTTCTATTCCAATAGAAAACACATGATGCAATGCAAGGAACATGAAAATGTTCAATTTCACTCAAATATGGGTTTTTTTGGTGTAACAGGTACGATATTCAATCAGGGATGCACGATCCGTACGAAGATTCTGTATCTGTAATGAGGTTGTATAAAAGATTACGCTCCCAAAAACACCAAGCAAGACAAATGGATGTGTCATTGGCTTCTGCTCGGAGTTCACTGAGTTCGACTAATGGTTATGATTGGAGTTACAAGGAAACTGAAAATATGAACCCCGACGAGCTTTTTAATCTCTCAAAACCAAATTACAAATGCTGGTGTTTGGATTAGCCATAAATTATTGCATTTTTTTTTGTTATCTACATTCTCAGGTTGAGTGAGGTTTTCAAAGATAATGATACAACGTGAATTCAGATTTTATTACATTTTTTATATATATTTAAAAATTAGATTTCCCCTAATTTTATAATGTTGAAAAAGTCGTGGAAATATTATTTATCTAAATTCTAGTACGAATGCTAAATAAATATTCATGCCATACGTTTTAGTTTTACTTTTTGACTTTTGTCCTTTAGGATTTATAATTAAAACTTAATAAATTAATAATTTATATTTATTAGATTAAAATCAAACTTCGTCTTAAATAAATGGAATGTTATGAATTATGATCACATTCCTCGGATTTTTTCACATTATAGAAAGAAAAGAAAAGGAAAAAAAAATAAAAATAGCCCCCGCCCCCAAAATTGACTGTTTTCTGGTCTTTATTCTCACTCTATTCGTTCTGCTGTTTCAAATTACACACAGAACACACGCAGTGACGGTGTAGTCGGAGCTTCTTCTCTTCCCCAAATTCAATGCTCTAAGATCTGCCTCTGCCCCAAATTTCTGCAACTCGTGAAGTGGAATTTGCGATTTAGAGATCTATGGCGGCGGAGCCGGTGAAGCAGCGGCTGTGGGACGGAGTATTGGAGTTGACCAAGGCTGCGCAGGAGAGAGGCACCGACCCCCTGCTGTGGGCTATGAAGTTGTCCTCAAGTCTCGCCGCCGCCGGAGTTTCCATGCCCTCCGTTGAGTTGGCGGAGCTCCTCGTTTCTCATATTTGCTGGTCGAATAACATCCCAATCGCATGGAAACTCCTCGAGAAGGCGCTCACTATTCGTCTTGTTCCCCCCATGTTCCTTCTTGCACTTCTCTCCACTAGGTTTTTTTTTAATCTCTCTCTCTCGTTCAATTATTACTATTGCAAAACGCATATAGGCATGTTGTCCGTGTGGCTGCCTTTGTATGATTACACAATGAGTTGCACACTTGCACTGACAGTGTACACAGGATAATTTTATGCTATAGTAGTTCTTTTTTTGTATCTGTCTGCTATAAAATGTATGCAGTCGGAAGATATGAAAAGTCAAGCTCAGATTACAGAGTATGGGTTTGCATGACATTAAATATTTTATAATGCATTGTGCTATTATGCAGGGTAATACCAAGTCGAAGGAGGTACCCTGTGGCGTATAGATTATACATGGAGCTTCTTAGAAGATATGCTTTTTCACTGCCGTCTCTAATCAATGGTCCCAACTATCAGAAGTATGATTCTGTTTCTTTGGAATTCTATCATTTGGTTCTGACTTTCTTGAACTTTTGGACTTGATTATTGAAGTAATGAATTGTTTAATATACTGAGATCTCTGTTACCTTATGCTATGTCACTGTTCGCTGTATTTCTTAATTGAAGGGCTATGTGGTTATATCCTTAGAAAAAGCATGTGTATATTCCTCATCAAACTTCTTTTCTGGAGAATGCCAAGATCCGTTCTTATTGTCATTCTGAAGATTAGCATTCTTATTCACTGAATCTGTCACGTGTATGGCAGCTTTTGTCGTTGAAGTAGTAATTATTGAATTAACTGGTTCACTAAGCTGTCCAATCTTCATTATGGCAAAGCTAGCTGTTCGAGGCTCTGGTTGAATAAGGGAGTAGGCATTATTTTAGGATATGTTAATCACATAATTGAACCTCTACTTATAGTAAAGTTCCTTAAATAATTTCGACAATGACAATGGATCCAGGTTCCTAAATTTGGACTTGTAAGTATGTTGTTATTCTCCGGATTAAAGTCAGAATCTGCTCTTGAGACATTTAGCATTTTACCTTTATAACACTTCTCGTGCCTCCAAAAGGATAAATGGTCGATGAGATTCTCCATCATTAAACTTTAGTTTTTGCCTTGCTTGATTTAACCTGTTATCGTTCTGCCTTCTGATCAGAAGAGAGTTTTCCTCTAGGTATGCATGACATACCCAAATGCATTAGTGTGATAGAGTTGTAAATGTTATATTCAATAAAAGAAAATCTGGTTTCAGTTAGTTGACGATGATTAAAGAATTAATTTTCTATTTATCTTTCCAATAACTGTAACTTTTGTGGACGTGCTGATATTAGAGTTAGAAAATGAGGAAGCATGTATGTTCCATATAATTCAGTTGAACAATTCCTGTTTTGGAACCACAACAAGTTTCAGTTGTTATGATAAATAAAATGACCATACACATGCAGGACTATGGAATCCATCAAAGACGTGCTCCAGTTTTACCAAATATTTGGAGTTCAATCCTCTGAACCAGGGCTTCTTGTTGTTGAATTTATATTTTCAATTGCATGGGAGCTACTTGATGCATCGCTTGACGATGAAGGTCTATTCGAACTTACCCCTGAAAAGAAATCAAGGTGGCCAATCAAGAGTCAAGACATGGAAATAGACTGTCTTGATGGTTTTGACGGGAAAAGTGTGGAACGTCAGGCAGCATTGAGTAAGATAAATACTGTAATGGCTATTGAAATAATTAGTGAACTTTTTCAGAACAAAGTAACTTCCCGGATCCTTTACTTGGCCCGTCGCAACATGTAAGATTCTTTTTTATTTCTGTTTTCTCTGTAAAACTTTGATACGCTTTCATAGTCAGAGTAGATGACAAAATAATGTATAGTTATAGACTTATAGTAAAGATGTGTACCCTAAATTGCGAGCTATGGACTTCATCAGTGTATACTAGCTCTGAAGCATGCATTCCTCTGTTTGATTCTAGGCCGTTGCAGTGGGAATGCTTCATTCACCATATGAGACTGCTTGCCGAGAATTCGGCATCTCTAAGAAACTCAAAGAATATCTCCCCAGAGGCACTCTTGCAGTTGACATCTGATACACGCCAACTTCTTTCTCGTGAAGGCAAGACGAACTCACTGCAACACTTTCATGCAGTAACAGCTAGGTCTCCTATATCATCTGCTGGTCAATCTCATGGTACAGTGTGTTCAGCACTTTGGCTTCCCATAGATCTTTATTTAGAAGATATAATGGATGGATCACAAGTCAGAGCTACCAGTGCTGCTGAGACTCTTGCAGGTACATTTTGATACAACTGTGATTCACAAGCTGATTATGCAGGTACAAAAGTTGCTGATCCTGGTTGCTATTGCAGGTTTAGTGAAGGCTCTCCAGGCTCTGAATCAGACCACTTGGCAGGATGCATTTCTCGGTTTGTGGACTTCAGCTTTACGTCTTGTTCAGAGGGTAAGAGCTAATTCGGTATACACTAAGCATGTATAATTTCGCTCTATTTTTATCTCAAATAAAGTTGAGTTTTGCTTTCTTTGTTTCCTATCACTTTTTAATAAAAATGATGACCCTAGGGCAAGTACCTCGGTTTTTCTCTGGCTCCCCTAAGTGTTTTTGGAAGTTCTTACTATAACTAAAATGAAAAATCTCCATGAGTGCGGTCTCTCTATATAAGAATTTACCTAGTAAATAAACTGTTGATGAATTATTTCTATTTGTGATCCTATATATTCACTGTTATGACATTTTCCCTTTGGATCTGTTCAGGAGAGGAATTCGAGGGAGGGTCCTGTCCCTCGCCTTGACACTTGTTTATGCATGTTATTGTCCATTGCAACACTTGCAGTTGTGAATATTATTGAAGAAGAGGAGACTATGTTGAGTAGTGAAGCTGAACAAAGCTCTATCAGCTCAAGAAAAAAAATTGAGTCAGTGGGGAAGCGCCGTGAAGACTTAATTTCTAGCCTTCAGCGGTTGGATGATTTTGAAGGGTTGTTGACTTCTCCACCACCTGTAAGTTCATTGGCTAATCAAGCTGCCGTGCGAGCAATGATGTTCCTTTCAGGCCTAACTGTTGGCAGTGGTCACCTTAGTGGCATGAGCTTGAATGAGATGCCCTTGAATTGTTGTGAGTACTTATATTCGCCTTGCTTTCAAGTATTGTACTTTCATACTTTTGGTTTTCAATTGGACTGTACAGGAGCTCTGATGAAGTTAGTTGTGCCAGTCATTATGAAACGTTGCATTTATTTCTTGTTAGATGGAAAATTATTGCTCTCTTTCTTCCATCCATTGCCAGAGCAATGATGTGTTTCTGATGGTCGTGTTCATGACCTCTTTCTTTCTTGATTTCCATATCTCTCTTCATGGTTATTTGGCTGATCAAACTTTTTTGTTTGATGTATTTCTGATCATCTTGACCTCTTTGTTTCTTGCTCTTTCATATCCCTCTTCATGGTTAATTGGCTGCTTAAACTTCTTCATGATCGTTTGCAGCTGGAAACCTTCGCCATCTGATTGTTGAGGCTTGCATTGCTAGAAATGTATTGGACACATCAGCATATGTGTGGCCTGGATATGTAAAAGGTCGATGCAACCAAATTCCTCGAAATTCTTCTGGGCAAGGTCCTGGCTGGTCGTCATTAATGAAAGGGTCACCGTTAACTCCTCCAATGGTCAGCGCGTTGGTGTCCACCCCGGCTACTAGGTTGGTGGTAGTTTAATTTTGAAAGTTCTATTTCTGCTTGCTAGCTCAGCGACCTTTTTCCCAATGAAAAACTGAATTTTAAGAAACAAAAATATGGAGATCACAAAATATTAAGACTTAGAAATAATAGTAGGTAGGTAGTTCTGAGTGACTCTTCTCTTATATTTTTAGCTTGAATGTTTCGGTTATTTTTGTTTGAGGGGAGTTGGGGCATTTCATTAGTTTTACACTAGTATTAACAAACTTATTGGTGGGTTATCAATATGAACTTCCGACTGTCACTGGTAACTTTGAGCTCTATTTGAAAATCCTAATCTAGCTTTGCTGAACTTTATTTGGCACTTTGTTGTGCTATCTGTCAAATCATGCTTCTTCTGATCCTAAGACAATATTATGTATTGGTTCTGTATAAGAGGTTTGTTGTTGCCTCCTTTCCTTTTCCCTTTTTCGTGCTGTGTACAGTTTCATAATAAACATCCGTTTTCTTCATCAACCAGTGTACTGCCGGTTGAATATTGCATAGTGCAAGCAGCTGATTTTTAGATTGTGGACGTAGCAGTTTTCGTAATAACCAATTTTAATAGACGCGTGAAGTTTATTGTAGTTCAGTAATTCAACCTAGTGGTACCAGATCCTCCTTTTCTTGTAAATTGCATTGGTAAGGCAACTGAGTTTGAGCTTATGTACTTGATATAAGCTTAGCAGAGATAGAGAGAATGTATGAGATTGCTGTCAACGGTACAAATGACGAGAAAATTTCTGCTGCTACAATATTCTGCGGGGCTTCTCTCTGTCGTGGTTGGAATATACAGGTAATTGCTTCTGAATTTATATATAAATTTTAATGCAAGTTACTTATTACTAAGCATTTTAATATCCTTTTATCTTTGGGGTGGGCAATTATTAATTTTCCATTACAATCCCGAAATGAAGGTAATAGGGGCTCAATAAAAGGTTATCATTTGACACAGGATATCTTTATTTGTTCTTCAAATTAATAAGGTCCATGCACTGCCCATACAAATTGTCTTTTTCCGTTTTTTGAAGATTATATATTGATTTGTCTATGTTTACAGGAACATACCGGCTTTCTGATTACAAGATTGCTTTCACCTGCTGTTCCTACAGATTTTTCTGGAAGTGAGAGCCACCTGATAGGTTATGCTCCATTTCTGAATGTTCTTCTTGTCGGAATATCATCTGTCGATTGTATTCAGATTTTTTCATTGCACGGCTTGGTAGGTCCAACTTCATCTATTCCATCTGCACTTTCTAAGTTTATATCCATGAAGCTAATACCACTTGAACAATATCATATTACCATTTCCTTACCTATGGCAAGGACTATCATATTACCATTTCCTTACTAATGCACTCCAACTACACTTTGAATTTGTTCCAGGTCCCTCAACTTGCAGCTGCATTGATGCCAATCTGTGAGGTCTTCGGTTCCTCTGCACCGAATAATTCATCGAGTCTTAACACAGGGGGGGAAATTTCTTCTCATGCTGTATTTTCAAATGCATTTACTCTGCTGCTGAAGTTGTGGAGATTTGATCGGCCTCCTCTGGAAAATGTAATGGGGGATGTTACTCCAGTGGGATCTAGTTTAACCCCAGAATACCTCTTACTGATGCACAATTCCCAGTTAGCTTCATTTGAAAATCCACCAAAAAATCAAAATAAAACTAATAAATTGTCGAGCTTGTCATATCCATCTTCTAGAGGGCCCATATTCATGGATTCTTTTCCAAAACTGAAGCGTTGGTACATGAAGCATCAAGAATGTATTGCATCTGTCCTTTCTGGGCTTGTACCTGGAGACCCTGTTCATCAAATAGTTGAGGCACTCATGAACATGATGTTCAGAAAAGTCGGCAGAGGAGGTCAACCGCTGACTCCTACGACTTCTGGGAGCAGCACCTCATCTGCATCTGGAACTGATGATTTTTTTATCCGTCTTAAGTTACCTGCTTGGGATATTCTCGAGGCTGTTCCCTTTGCCCTTGATGCTGCCCTTACTGCCTGTGCCCATGGGAGACTATCCCCACGTGAATTGACAACTGGTTGGTAAAAACATTTTTCAATTAAATCGTCTTGTAATATTTCAGAATACTTATACTTGGTCAAAGAATCATGCTGGTTCAGGGAAGATTCTTCAGCCTGCTTCTCAAATCCATCCATTTGCATACATAAAAGAGACAGCATGTATATTTGCTCACATTATGATACATGCGAGTAAATTTAATACTTAGTGCATATGCTTTGTCCTTTGAGTATATATAAACTTGTGCTTTTATTTTATACCGAAGGTTTGCCTGCTCCTAGGAAGTGTGACTACCTACTCGACTCTACAATTTCTAGGCAGTTATCTATTTGGGAATGACTTCGTTGGATAATCAATCAGTTGTAGGTTTTCAGTACCAGAAGTCTTATAGACATTTCAATGAGAAATATAAACAGAAACACTTCTTAGAACCTCTGTACGATTGGCTGTATGTCAAAGAAACTGAATCAACGTGATTTGAAATATTATTACTCTTGTTACGTCTATGGCCCTGTTTCAGTAATGTGGTGTTACTTTTTCTTTACAAGTGTGCATTATGCCAGTATACTGAATAGACAATACCGTGATTTATCTATCTCAGGGCTCAAAGATCTTGCTGATTTTCTCCCCGCTTCTTTGGCGACTATAGTAAGTTACTTTTCAGCCGAAGTGACTCGAGGTCTTTGGAAGCCTGCTTCAATGAACGGAACTGACTGGCCAAGCCCTGCCGCCAATTTATCCATGATTGAGCAACAGATTAAGAAAATCGTTGCTGATACAGGTGTTGATGTTCCATGTCTTTCTGCAGGTGAGACTTTGTGGTATTTGTCATATCTTATTAGTTAATATTTAATCTATAAATAAAATCACTCTAAAATGAACAGAAAACGGATCTCCTTGTTTATCCGTCGCTATGCTGACAAGTCTTTTGCTTGTAGGGGGCAGCTCAGAATTGACACTTCCATTACCCCTAGCAGCTCTTGTTAGTCTCACAATAACATACAAACTCGACAGAGATACTGACCGTTTTCTAAACTTGGTCGGTCCAGCCTTGAGTAACCTGGGAGTATGTTGCCCCTGGCCGTGTATGCCCATAATCTCCGCTCTTTGGGCACAAAAGGTAAAGCGTTGGAGCGACTTTCTTGTCTTCTCTGCATCACAAACTGTGTTCCACCACAACAACGATGCTGTAGTTCAACTCCTCAAAGTCTGCTTCACAACAGCTCTTGGTCTAAATTCTTCTTCAGTTGCAACCACCGGTGGTGTGGGTGGTCTTTTAGGGCACGGCTTCGGGTCCCACTTTGCCGGCGGAATTTCCGCCGTAGCCCCTGGAATACTCTACTTGAGAGTCCACCGAGCGGTAAGGAATATCATGTTCTTGACCGAAGAGATAGTCTCTCTCTTAATGCACACAGTCAAAGATATAGCCAACAGTGGGTTGCCCAAAGATCAAATCGAGAAGCTCAAGAAAACCAAATACAGCATGAAATACGGGCAGGTCTCTCTCGCCGCTGCAATGAGACAGGTGAAAGTCGCGGCTTCTCTCGGTGCTTCGATAGTTTGGATCACGGGTGGATTGAATTCTGTGCAGTCTCTAATTAAAGAAACGCTACCATCTTGGTTTATATCACTTCACGGATCAGAGCACAACGGGGAGGAATCTGGTGGGATGGTGGCTATGCTGGGCGGGTATGCACTTGCTTATTTTACGGTATTCTCTGGAGTTTTTGCGTGGGGAGTGGATTTAGTATCACCTGCGTCTGTACGAAGGGCGAACGTTCTTGGTAAGCACTTGGAATTTCTGGCGAGTGCTTTGGACGGCAAAATATCACTTGGGTGTAATAAGGCCACGTGGAGAGCTTATGTTACAGGGTATTTGAGTTTGATGGTGAGCTGCACGCCTAATTGGATGCTTGAAGTTGATGTTGAAGTATTGAAGAGAGTTGGTAAGGGACTGAAACAATGGAATGAGGAAGAATTGGCTTTGGCCCTTCTTGGAATAAGTGGCATCGGTGCTATGGGTGCTGCTGCAGAAATGATTATAGAAACCGGAATCTGATTTTTTTTTTAATTTTTTTTTTAAATTTACTTCTGAATTTGTGATTAGAGTTTTAGTTTGTGTTTTTTAGCAGTGTAGGTATATATAGATGATATTCGTATGTATAGACTATGTAGTACTAGAAAGTTGTGTATCCCGAAATGCAAGGAAGGACATTCTAGAAGGCCGAATTCATTCGACGCAGACTCTTGAGCACTCGAGCAGCGGTTCTTCGTTCTTGTGAGAACAAGAATGTAGACTTCGTTTCGATTTGTTTGATGCTATATTTGGTGAATTTTGTCGAGTATGTTTTCACTATGTATGGTGTTCTTATTATCTACCTAAACACGATTGGGTAGGTTTACACTTTTTATGCACAAACAAGCATTCGCACTTACACTTTTGACACACACATGTAATATACGTGTGAATGTGTGTAAAAGATGCGTAAATATATCCACTGCATGGTAGAATACGATCTGGTGAAGTTCATCGAGTTTAAAATAGAACAATCTGTTTAAATTTGTTTGATGTTACACCTGGTGAAATTCATGAAGTAATTTTACACTTCTGATTTCCAGAATCACACACACGCGTGTGTGTATAAACTATGTGTGTGTAAACTATGTGTTAAAAGAAAAAATAAAAATAAAAAATACACACACACGCGCGCGGGCGCGTGGAGATAGTGTAGAAAGTGCGGTGAGGATATACGTCGCGGGTTTAAGAACAGAGGTACAGAAAGCTAAAACCCTGGAGAAGGGGGGAAAGCCGAAAATGGAGGTTCAATCACTGCATCTGCTAAAATGCGCCGTTATTCCGCCATTGGCTAATTCTTCAGCTTCAGCCTCACCGCGAGGATTTCTCAAAGCTTTTCCAGTACGACCTTCTTTCAAGTGTAAGTAATTTTCCTTTTAGCTTCGGGTCTTCATAAATTCGAGGAATTATTTGAACATTTATGTTTCCTCTGTGGTTGTTGTTGCTGCGGTTTGCAATTATCAGCTCTGCGTGGATGCAAGAAGATAGAGGAGCAAGAATTTTACGGTCTTCCGAAAGAATTTTACGACGATGTATGTGTATTCTCATTCTTTTTGGTTGGAGATAATATTTTGATTTTCTCTGAAAATATATTTGAATTATACTGATACGTGATTGTATACACTTTGACAACTATTGCTGATAATTTGGGGTTCAGGAATGGCAAGCGAAGCAGAGGGAAAAGACAAAGGAGTTGGAGAGGTTGCGACAAGAGGAGGATGATGAAGAGGAAAAGAAGGTGGATGAGTACCGCGAGGTTGGGTTACGGCTGAAAGATTATCCAGACGAAGAACTTCGTAAAGCCAAGAAATTGGTTTCTAGCTTCATAAGATCAGCAGAAGAGGTGGAAGAGGTATTCCTTGTCATTGGTTTTTTTTTTTCGCTCAAATTTCTCTTATAATTCGTAATTTAAATATGGAAGTGAAAGAATTCAATGACTGAGATTGATAACATCGTGTGAATAAGAATTAACTTGAAAGAAAAGAAGAGCTACATGTCATGTGGCTTTCTAAAACACAAATAAAGTTGATAATGTGTTTGCAGATGCTATTGTCTTCCGAGTTGTTTTCTAATCTTTCCTTTGATTTCCCATTCAGTCATTATGGATATTTTTATTATTCAATGGGCAATATTTTTCCGCGTCGGAGAATGATTCTTCTGCTCATTGAGTTACCATTTCTGGTTGTTCACACATATATTTTGCTGTTAGTCCCCCATAGTTCTATAAGGTATGGGTTTAAGTTAATATCGGATGATGATAGTTTTTAACCTTTCACTGCAGAAAATTGAAGAAGCTGCTGAAAAAGGTGAACTGACTGAACTAGTGCTATTGGTGATATGGAATCGCCTTGATCTCGCCCGTCGTGATGTGAGTCAACATACTGAAGCCATTTCTAGGATATATATGCCTTTTAGCCTCATAATCCCTTCCCTCGTATATCTCATATCTATGTCAATATGGTAATTTTGGATCTGCTACTTACATCAGGATGAAAAGGATGCTGTTAGAAGTCTTGATCTATTGTACAGGAGGGTTGAGGTGTGCTTATCATTTCAGTAATACGATTTTACCCCGCATTAGATATTGCTTAGTTTGTATCTCACTGTCAAAATCATCTCTTGTGTTTTTTCAGACAGAGATATTGAAAAGGGAGGCTACTCCAGCAATGACGTTACTTAACCATCTGTTGAATATGCACGATGGATTTGACGATGATGGCTGGCTCAAGGCATGTAAGAAGCACATGTCCGAAACTTTTCCCAGAGAGGATCCTTTCAGCATTCTTGTACCCACTGGATTTGACATTGATAAGGTAAGATCACTCTCTTTGTGCTATATCAATAAATCATAAATGTTTGTCTAAGTCGATGAGTTGAATTTATCTTTTTTTTTTTTGTTATTATATCTTGTTGATGATTGGCTATATTGTGTTCACTTTGCATTAGCACCAAGGGCCAATCAGACCAGACATGGACGCTGATGACGTTCTTTTAAGAGTAGATTTTGTAAGAGAAGTCAACGAACTCCTGCAAGAAGTTCGATCTCAATATGACGAAGGCGTAAGCACACAATCCCTTGATGCAGAATCAGTCGCGAGTAGGTTAAAACATCAGGAGAAACAACGAGTCATTCGACAAGTTGAAGCTCTATTGGATCTTGCCATTAATTTGACATGATATAGTAACTACTTCAGTCTCTTTTTCTTCTTCCTTTTTCCTTTTCTTCTTTCATCAGTATATATAGCTATGTGTCTCCCTGTCTGTAACTAAGAATTATTTTTACTAATTATTAAGATCTGCTCTTCTCATCCTTTTTGATGGTTTAATAATTATGTGCTAATTCACTTTGTCTCTGTCGACGAGAAAAAGAAAGAACTTTTCGTTGATTATGGTTGTAAGCCCATTTACCGAAACAGGTGGGCCAGGCCGAAACCAGAGGAGCATAACTAATCCCACTCTAGGACCACAGCCCAGGTATGAGCCCAACCCTACGAAACGCCATCTTTTCACATTATTATTTTTATTTTTTACTTTTTATTTACAAAATTACAAGAAATATATCAGTTTTTGTTCACTGTGACTAAATAGAAAAAAGTAAATCAACAATAATAATAATCTCGTATGCCTTATAATCTGGTGAGTGATAAACCAGGAAGGAGTCTTTGACTTGTCTAAATTTTCTGACAAACACATCATATAGAGAAGAACCAATATGTTTCCCTAATATGGACACTTCTAATCCAGGGGAAGAAAAATTTGTGACAGTTAATTTGCTCATTCTAACACAATCTGAGGAGTAATGCCACCAGAAGCAGTTTTACTACTACTCCTGCGTGAGCTTCTCTTTGTCGAAACCAATGGATTATTCTCCTCCTCGTCAACCGCTACCCCTAATCTTTCAATATCGAAAGACTTAAAAACTGGATGCAAATAAGAATCCTGTAAATAAGCTTTCAAGTTCAGATTCGGCTCTGTGGCCCTCTCCAACGTGTCCTTTACCATTGTGTCCTATTCGATCAACAAAAAAAGAACGTAAAATGAAATCATTTTCATAAAATGAGTTTGTATTAAAAATAATTTCAAGAAAAATGGTATTCATTGATTGGACTAACCTGTAGTGGGAACTTAACGAAAGCTGACTCGAATCGCCCCTTGCAAAATCGATGAAACCAGATGGTTAAGACGGGTAGTGCAATTAAGAATGGAGTTGCTTTGGCTATCCTTTTAGTGCTCAGCAATCCCAGAAGCAGAAATTGTGAAATCACTAAACCTATAATTACACGGCGATGCACCGCCGGCCAAAATGCTGCTCCGCTCTCGTATTTCTGATCGTATACATTGATGATCTGGATATTGGAAAACAAAATGTAATTTTTTTTTTCAGTTTATTAATTTCGTGAAGTAATATCCGTAAGTAAGAGTTTATGTACCTGGTGGCGAAAAACGACATAGGAAAAGGCGAAGAAGACGATTATGAAAGGTAGGATTAACGGTGTGACCACTGAGTATACGAGTCCGAGTAAGAAGTATAGCTGTATACGAGGTTCTGATGATGGGAAATTTATACAACCGGCATCCATTGCCTGTTCCCTGTCCTGTTCTGTCTTGACTAAGAATGTGTTCTTTAAATGGAACATTATTAAAGGAACCAATCGGAGAATCTCTGCAGCTATCCCAGCCCAACCATCAACCATAATATATGTAATAAAAAAGGTGGCTTTCATCGGAATGGCAACACCGACAGTTATTGGGATCCTGCAAAATTAATAAAAAACTTAATTATTGTTCTTATTGCCCATTAAATCTTGATACGGTCGTGTGATATTAGTGATTAGTTCTTGCAAGATTTAAGCAAAGATGACATACTCTGATGGGGACTGGTTAAGAAACGTTTTGAGCTGTTGGAATGCTGCTCCTGTGATGAGACTTCCGAAGAAGACATTCACAAGTAAAAAGAAATGATACTTTCCGGCTGATCTTCTATCCAGAGACGAAAGAGACGTGAGACCTTCTATTTTGGACATTGTCATAAGAATTGATGGAAGAAGCAATAGGAATATTTTCAGTACAATTCCGGGAAGAAAACCTTGAACAACAGACTTCACTTTTTCCCTGAATCGAAAAAAGTGAGAAAATCTTGAGCTTGTATAGAGGTGACAAAAAGAAGGGGGCGAGAGAGAAGAGAGTAAATGAACTTACTTTTGAATCAATGCTTTGAGGAAGGGGAAAACCTTTACGATGCCATCAATGCTTGCCAAGGATTGTACAAAGGCTATAGGGATCATGAAGAAGAATGTGAGGAAGAACATAGCAACAGCCATCAGCAGCCTCTTCACAGCGAGCTCGACATACGGTATTGCGAGATTGTCCCAGTAAACATCACGTGGTTCAGGGGCCCACTCTGTCAGCCAAATAGTTGGATTGCTCGATTGTTGAGTTTGAGCACAAACGGCCGCTCCCCATCTGGATTTAAACGAAACAAATGCTGCAGGAACTATGGCCTTTGGGTCACTCATGACCTTCTCCCTTTCTACAGATTCCTGCAGACGATGTATTTGTTCATCAAAGCATTATAATTTATGTGTGAAAGCAATGAAGAGTTATGTAGTGTATGAAGCTTAAAATACAAAGGTCCACATGTGTGGTAATGGAACAAAAGACGTTTACAGTGACATGCTTACTTCTTGAATTATCTTCTCGATCTCATCTGTGTAGTAATCAATGGCATCCACGGTCTTTCCCCAAAGTCCCCATAAACCTGTCTACAAACTTTAAAAAGTGAGATGATAATATTTTCCGAATTATGTGAATGATATGTCAGGGAAGAACATAATAAGGTTTCTCAAGAAAGAACAAAAAGTAAAGACAAAGAAAAACATACTAAGGTTTTATGAGAAATTTATATCCAGGAACCAATGTCTTGCTAAAATTTTTGAAGAAGAACCAATCATACTTAAACATAATGTGCATGGAAGAATACCTTAGTTGTAGGCCTCATTTTCGGGTTTCTCTCGTATCGTGTTTGATAATAAGTTCTCCAATTGTGTAAACTCTTCTTATTCTCCACCAAACTGGCGAGTTTGTTTGCATTATATACGACCTGCAATCCAGTTATTAGAAAGCTGCATAAATTAAATCCTCGGAACAAAAAGGCACAGGTTAACTTCTCAAATTAATCTGCTACATGCACTCACTTTTTAATTTTCCTTCAACTCCTTTTGTTAAAAATCATTTCACTTTAATAGTCAAAAATGTGATTCTACAATCCTTAGTCAACACGAGTCTGCGCCCTCCCCTAAGCTCATTTCTCACTCTTAGTCTATCCTATTTTACCTACACTTTTCGATACAAACGTATTATACTTTTTCACTTTTCAATACATCAAATTTGAAGCAAAACAAATCCAAACCTGATGCGTGAGATAAGTATCAGGATGGTTTACGCAAAAGAAATGCTCCACATGCTCGCTAACTGATTCATCAGGATCTGGAGGAACATTTCTCACAAGGACCTGAAAATGAAACACGAGTGATCAAGTTGCAGAGGTGGATGTAATATTTTCATGACACATAAAACTGAAAGTCCACTGTGTAAAAAGAAGATATTGTCTACCAACTCACACTGAATTGATCTGGACGGCGATTTTCGGACGCTAAGAATTGCAACCTCTTGTTAGTGACGATCTGGTATTCTTTGTAAAGGATATAGCATGTCCAGAATGTGACTACATATGCCATTATTATGTGTGTCACGAACCTGATTAAAAAAAAATACATCTATCTGCCTTTAGGTACGTGCACGTAATCACAATATTAGAAACAAATAGTCTTTTCCATCCTTCTTCGTCTACTGAATTATGCTTTTATTAAGATATGCAAAACAAATCTAGTGCTTACCTTATAGACCCTGGTGCAACATTGGATATAGAAAGCTTGTCTATATCGCTGAACGTCAAATCTTTGACATTGTCCAGCGTATTCCCCGTCCAATTGACAGGCACCAGTACCGCAAAAGCAAGCATAGCAATAGGGACAAAGATTTTTAATCTGCATTCAGTTACAGTAATCGATGAACATGTCGCACAAATTCAAAAGTGATATACGTAAACATTAGACATCTTTAACCTCGACGTAACAACCACTGAAAGAGCACTAGCTGAAACGTTATGCACTTACCCGAGGAGGTAAATTCTTACATACACGGCGGAATCAAGCCCTGCATGATCTATCAGTTCGGGCTCTGGCATTCTTAATGCTGCAGGCATCCATGTCCAAAACTTCAAATAGGTTCTGCAGTCTAAATTAACGAACTTCTTCATCAAAGCCCCGGAACTCTTCGGGCTTGCTCGTATACCCTTTTTGTACCATTTCGGAAAGTACACTCTGTCGTTAATAGGCTGGAGTCTTAGGAATGCAAAAGCCAGAAGAAATGCCAATGCTGATAAAAGATTGATAGCAGCTGATGTGCATATATCCTGAACACTAGCCATATTCTTATGGGATGATTACTTATCAATCACCTGCATTTCGACAAACATCGATTGATCAAATCGGAAAAATTGACAGCAGAGGATAATGTTTCCTCAAAAAATCATTACCTACTTTAGTGAATAGGTTCAGTGTTGGTTGAAATTTTCTCAAGCTTGTTGCGTATAACCTCCGAAGGATGAAATAGATGGAGTCGGGGTCATTATTCCCCCACCCCTCGATTTATTTGTTATCGCTGCCTTGAGCAAAACAACTTGATCAGTTGATCAGCATCAATCGATCCCCTCGAGTTCAAAACACGTGAGATGTCACAGATCTTCCTTAAACCAACCAGATATTACCTGAAAATTAATTAAAAAAAAAAAAGGTTTCGAGTTTCAGAACACGAGTCCTGAACTGAAACAATGGATCATAAATCTCATAAGCGATAACAAAATAAATCATAAAACAGAGGATCATACGAAAACGCAGATAAATCTATTTTTTATAAACACTAAACAGCATTTTCGTCGTGACTTCTCGAATCAATGTTCCGATTGGTATCTCCTACGCACGAGGGCGAATAATTTCAAACAGAAAACGGCAAAAAATCAAATCTCTTAATAAGGAAATATGATTAATTGAAAATCATACACCATCGTGTAAAATCTCTGAATAATTAAAACATCGCAGGAAACAAATGGAAATAATCGGATGGAAAAACGAACCAGCATGAGAGAGAGAGAGAGAGAGAGAGAGAGAGAGAGAGAGAGAGAGAGAGAGAGAGAGAGAGAGATTTTCCATATACCGGAAGCAGAACAAAAAAAATGTCCCTAATTCATCTCCCCCATAGATGAATCAGATGTGATTGAAGAATGAACGAGGTGAAATTAGGGCACAGCAGAGAAGTGGAATTTGGGGGTGGATGAATGAACGTAGGTTTTTTTTTTTTTTTGGAACGCGAGTTTTTCGTTTTCATGGCAGTTTTGGGAACGTTAAACAGAACTACAGAGAGAGTACACATAGGACAGGACTTTTTTGAAATTCTTTAATGACGAGATTGCCCCTACTATTCCATGTCATTTTCTTTTATTTATTATTATCATTATTATTCCTAATAAAATAAAATTGATGTTAGGTCCAAATTTCCCTCTATGAATAATTGTGGTTTTAATTAAGTTATAATATATATACTACATTGATTTGAAGTGTAACTGTATAGTGTCAACATTCATTTATATAAATAATTGGTGATTCTTGTTTTTTTTTGTTATATTTTTTGTATATGTGTTAATATTAATAATTGTATTTTATTGATGTGCTATTTTGTTGGTAATGCATGGCCTTTTGTGCACTGTGTTGGTATTTTATTAAAAAAAAAAAGAAAAAGATCATTGAAAGTGTGAAAAGCTGCATAGGATTTGTCGCAATTTGACTGGTTCTTGAACTTTTTGTTCAGTTTGCGAGGCATTTGGAAGCTTGGGTTATTTTTCTTAAAGTCATTACAGTTGTTGTTGTGCTGTAATTTATTGTCATAATTCCGAATTCTCCGCCATTTGCATATATGGATTTAATTAGCTTACTTTATGGATCATCAAAGAGCACACAATCTTAAGAAATTATTACCATTTCCTTAAGAAAAGGAGGAATATATATAAATATAATTAGCTTACTTCAAAATTCCTTATGGCCGGGCCACATCTCAGGGGTATGAATGGTTGTAATAATATAATTTGGGCCAAACTTTTCTTAACCAAAACTCCAGAAAATAATTAAAACCCCACAAAATAATCTCTGCTAATTATTACAAAATTTAAATACAAGAAAAGCAAATTAAATGCTGCTGCATGCGACTGAACACATGCAGTATTGCAACACTGACACATGAAAAAGTGACAAACCTTCAAACATATAATATTTCTTTGCAAATTAAATAAAAATGAAAGGCCCAAAATATTATATTAATCCGCCTATAAAATATTATATATTGCCTATAGTAGGGACAATAATGTAAATACAGAAAGTAAATCTCAGACAAAAATATCTTGCACCGCCAAAATCGGAAAAGCCGCTCAGTCAAGTTAGTTTTGTCTCATATATATATATATATATATCCACTGAGATCACTAGCTAGCTAGAAGACCCATCACCATCGTCGCCGCCGCCGGCACTACCATCGCCATGTTCTCCGCCGTCGTTATCATCAGGAGTAGTACTATCTGCAGAGACGTCCTCGTCGGAAGAGAGGTGGACCAACCAGCACGTGCCATGCAGGTGGCCGTTCAAGCACACGAAGTACTCCAGCCCATCGTCGTTCGAGCCCAGCCGCCGCGCCGCGCTCTTCCTCGGGATCAGCCGCGCCGCCGTCATGCTCCAGACGCGGGTCCCGCAGTAGGGGCACCTCACCCCAGCTTCGAAATCCACCCGCTTCCTTATCAAAAAATCCCGCGTCCTCGACTTCATAAATGCCCGAAATACCCCCCGGTATATTCCGACGTCGTCTTGATGCTCCTCCGCCGCCGTGGGGTGCTCGCACGGGTCGCTCACGTACAGCACGTCTCCTCTGCACCTCTTCGTCAGGAAGCTCCGGCCCGAAGTCTTCGAGAACCGGGCCGACCTGACGAAGTGTCCCGGCGACGGCCGCCTCAGTTCGAACCGCGGCGTCGCCGACTCCCAGCCGCCGCAGAAGAACAGCAGCTTCGCCAGCGCGTGCCATCCGCCGACGACGCGGCTGTTGGAGGATCCCTCCGCCAGCGCCGAAACCATCCGCGGCGCGCGGTGGAGGCACAGAAGCCGCCAGAGGAGCCGCTTCGCCAGCGCGCGGAGCCGCCGGTTGACAGCCGCCGCCCGGCAGAGGACGTGGATATCCCACTTTATTGACTCGAAGACCAGAACCATAATTCGCTCGTTGAGGATCCCCGAGTCATCCGACTCAGTGAGTCTCGGTATCCGACTCGAACTCCCACTCTCACTCTCACTGATTCCCATATATTTTTTCCTTTTTTCAGACAAAACTTACCGCCGGCTTAAGAATTGCCGCCTCGACGATGGGCCTTTTATAAGATAGAGAGAAACACGTGTTGAGCAAAGATCAATCGTCGTTTAACTATATTTAGAAACCCAAGATACGTGTTGCTTTATCATTGGTTGGATGTTTCTTTTACGTTAAGAAAAAGGGTACTGCCACGTAGGTTGGCTCGAAAGTATAAAATATGCGAAAGACGTGGCGAAACGGGGGAAAAGGTCGCACATAAAAAATGTCTGGGGTTTATTTATAATTAATTTAATTTGTACCTACTAATTGAGGAAGTAACACGTGGGAGTGGATTTTGTAACACACGTATAAAAATCTTGACTTTGTGTTGACCAATATATATATTGGTGTAAATAATATTGCATGTGTTGTCGCATGGTGAGGGTTTTTGTAGCTTAGGACAGGATCTAATGAAAGTGGTAACTGAAAAGTGCATTATTTTCTTCTGGAGAGTGCTCCTTGTCAATGGATAAGATCCACGTGTTAATTATGTATGGCTTCATGTCTTTTTTTTGTTTTTAAAGATTATATTTCACACTTTCTTGTCGGATTTTTTTTTATTTTGTTTTATTATTGAAAAATGACTTAATAAAATAAAAAAACAGTGACTCGATTTTCATTTGTGTTCGACTCAATTAAAATTCGTCCAGACTCGACTCAATTGCTTATCAAATCAAAAACAAACTCACCTTTAGACAACTGATGAACATTCAGAACAAAGTATTTGTTGGGCTGGACTTTATTTATTTGCACCAGGTGATAAATAAATTTTGTAATATTAAATTATTTACCATGAATGGTTTGGGCCCAATTATTGGAAGTTGTAAAGCCCAATTTATGGCCCATTAGTGGTTTGGGCCACGTGGTTCGGCCTGTATGCGTCAAAGTATGTGTTTTGATTTATGAACCATACCACTATTCTACACTGTCAATTACCGTAAGCCGGCGGTGCACGTTAGCATCGCCCTCTTCATAAAAACAAAACAACTCACTTCATATCTGTTTTCACCCAAATTCTCACAGCCTCCTCCACAAAACACTCACCCACCACCATCCCCCCCCCCATCTATGTGATTAGGGATAGGGTTTTATACATAGTTCAATTAACTATTCATCGAAGATTCTATTCTGAATAAGCGCGGCTGTATTGTATAGTGATACAGGAGTCGTATACACATATAAATTGCACTAGGATTTTAGGGTTTTCTGTTCTGTCTTAATTCGATCTTTCAATGCCTGTCAATTATTTGGTGGTTTAGTATCTTTATGGCGCCGAACCGAAGAAAAGGTGCCAACAAGGCGGCGGCAGCGGCTGCCGCCCGGCGGAAATGGAAGGTCGGCGATCTCGTACTTGCCAAAGTCAAAGGATTTCCAGCCTGGCCTGCTACTGTATGTACTTATTCATCTTTTTCTTATAATTATTTTTTGGGGATTGTTTTTTATCTCTCAATTTTATTTCACCCGTTTAATTAGGTTATTAATTTATAATGATTATTTTTTTTCGTTTCGTCGGATCTGACATGAAATTGTAGTTTTTCTTGAAAATCGTGTCTTGTCCCTGCTGAATTATGTCTATTAGCGTGCTGTTCAAAATTGAATGTTATATACAAGATAGCTATATGCCATGAATGAAAAATAAACTGAGAAATGAATTTGCCGTTTAGTCCTTAGAAATTGGTACACGTTAGTGTAAGTTCCTGATTAATTTGTAATGCTGGCTGCAATTTGAAATTTATGCACTCTACATGCAGTCTTACTTAGGTTTTGTGGGAAACTAGCCGTCTTAGTGATGAAAACAGAAACTAATGGATCCTTTTTCAATATAAACAATGGCATTAGACTTGGGAGAAGATAGTTCAGGCTTAAATCTGTTGGAATATTTTGTGTACTTTCAATTTACTTAGGCGCAAGAAGACTATCATTCAAAGGGTATCGGGTATTAAGAATAGCCTCGAAAAAGATTTCCCTGTCTTTCTAATCAAAGACACCAAATGTTCTTTTCAATATTTCACTGAAAGCTTATGAAGTTCTCTAATATTTTAGCCGGACAGAGATCTCTGAAGGGTAGAGCGGTCGAAAGAGTCTCTGAAATAGGAGAATCTATTGCATCACATACATCTGAGCCAAAGAGGAATGCAGAAATACTTTAAATGAATATTATTCTTTACCTGGCGTGAAATGACAATCCATGGATCATCTTTTTGAAATTGCACTGTCTTTATGAGGACCAAAGAGTTATCTTTTCCTTGCAAGGAAACCTGATGCATTGATATATTCTATTGATTTTATATTTTGGGTGAATTAGTAGGAATAAGGGGGCGGAATAATGATTTGGATTCAGGAAGGGTCGATAATATTTCCTTTTGCATTAAACAAAGTTGTAATACCATATAATTCTTCTGCCCTCTATGTCATGAAAGAAGTAGAGATGGATCCTCTTGTGTCCAGAACTTATTTAGTTTTGAAGAGAAGTCGTGAACTATTGGTATTCGATAACGAGTGTCTATATGATTCAGAATTATTGTTTGTAGGCATTCATGAAGTCGCTTAGCCCGCCTAAGTGCAAGTCATGGACTCTGTACACCTTTACTTGTGATTTAATTTAATGGTCTTACTGAAATTCATTTGCAATAATAGTGAGGTGATATTGTTAATTTGGGGCTGTCATGCTTTTTTTTTTTTTTTGTGGAACACGAGTTCCAACGGACGTGAGACCTGGTGTATCTATAACTTACGTAAAATATGTTTGGGATAGATTTTCTCTGGTGGTTACAAGTGTTACTGTGTTATCATATTAATTATCATGTACGATATAATTTTTCATGACTTGAAAATTTAGCGACTTTTCTATTTATTGTTTCTCTGATTTTCCCATGTCAGGTGAGTGAGGCGGAGAGATGGGGTTACCCAGCTGATTGGAAGAAAGTTGTAGTTTTCTTTTTTGGGACTGAACAAATGTGAGTTCCTGTTTTTCTCAAGTTACATTACTTTTTCTGTTTCTGTTCAAGTCTCCCATATGACTGATTTTATCTCATGGTTTTCCTGATTAAGATTTTTGCATTATACAAGTTGATGACCTTTCTCTTACTCGATTCCGTCACTACACATTTTTCATAGCATTTTTCTTAGACATTATGCTTGGTATATTTTGAGAGATACTTCCTGTGGAGAACATGTTCGTTGTTAAGTAGGATAAATTGAATGTCTAGTATCTCCTCCTAGTTATGGGCAGAAGTTGTTGCTTCTGGAAGCTGTGTGGTTGTTTAATTTATTTATGGTACATGGAGTCAGTATAGTTTATTTTAGTCGCATAATTCTCGATGTAGACAACCAGGGTTTGACTTTCGGAATTTAATTTTATCTGAAGCATTGTTTTTCAAGAGTTAGCTTCATTGTTTGTATTTTGAATAGAGCTTATCGCTAATTTTGATATGAACTTTAGTTGCATGGTCTTAAAATTTATTTTTTCTGCACGTTCTATCTCGCTGTCCTGAGTAAGTCACCTTATTCATATGGTTTTTTTCGCAAATTATCCTTGCAAGTGCTTGTGACAAGTTAGTTATATTTTATTAAAAATCGCTGATATGTTAGGAATTTGGTCTATATGTATAGTAGTTAGAGATTCCTTTGTTTAATGAAGGAACAAGGAGCAATTTTTTCACTGGTGTTGTGAGTGCTGCATCTAACTTTTGATTCCCATTCCTTTTTTTATGACTTGATTTTTGCGACATGTTGAGACCCCCAATTAAGACAATTTTAGAGCATTGGACTTGTCCATCCCTTTCGAAGTTGATGAATTAGTCAAAATAATTGCATTTGTAGACTCTCAGTAAGTGTACTACTATTGAGCTGAATGGAAGATTAATCTTCAATATAGGTAAAACTCATAGTGATAGTTACCGTGTTTGTTGGTTGGTAGTATCAAAAAATTGAAGCGTACATACTAATGGGTTGTGGTCTTCCTTTTTGCATTTATGCTTTCATAGATAAACAGCTATAGTTATACTAAGTCATGGGCCTTCAGCTGCTAATTTAGTTACATCAAGAATTTGTTCCTCCATCCTTTACACCCTATTTTGTGCCGTTTATGTCACAAATCTCTGATTACAGTAAATATGATTCAACTAAAACATTGATGGATAATGAATTATATTTAGTAGACAATATGTAGTTATTTTTTATTTGCATTGCTAGAATCATCAGTTCCGTCATGTTTGGTATGATCCACAAAGTTAGCTGAGTACAGAGAGAATTGTGATTGACAGAGTGATGTTATATGTATACCGTCTCTAGATCACAGAATTGTGGTTGACAAAGTGATGATATATGTTTGGGAATACAATGACCTTTTTATTATCAGTTCTGAGAATTAAAATAGAAACACACGGGATACTTTGTCTTTGGTACATCTATGCCCCGCCCACCACACACACACACACACACTCTCTCCCAACCCAAAAAAAGGAAAAAATGATACGACGAACTTAGATGTCTATCCTCTTTATGTCTTCTGATTGTCCATGTCAATTCTAACTAAATTTCCGATTTAAAAACGTTCAGTATAGCTGCAGAGTAATAGATTATACTTCTATTTGTGTGCATGTTTTTAAGATTACATCAATTTGCCTCTATCATGGTATTATGGTAAACAAATTCATGTTGAAAGTTTATCAGGTCTGTATCGCTCTTAAGAATTTTGTCACTTGTACAGTGCCTTCTGTAATCCTGCTGATGTAGAAGAATTCACAGAAGACAAGAAAGTATCTCTGTTGGGAAAACGCCATGGTGCTGATTTTGTTCGTGCGGTAAATGAGATAATTGATTGCTTTGAGAAGTTGAAGAAACAGGACCATGTGGGTGGGGCTAGTGGTACTGATGAAACTAATATTACCAATGAAAACAACTCAGATGAATCCTTGACTAAATGTGTGAAGGATGTACCTCCTGCAGTTGCAGATGAACCGCTTTCTACGGGGACTGCAAATGATTTGAATTCCCTAACTGAAGCTGCTGTAGCTGCAGCAGCTGAAGATGCTTTGCATGACGAGGAGACGCAATTGGGGCAGACATCTTCTAATACCGTGTCTACAAAAACACCTGTGTCCACCACTTGCTTGGCAAAAAGCAAAACTGATGGTGGCCGATCACGAAACAGTAGCTCACAGAGGAGGAAATCTGCTCGCAAGTTAAGTTCTTCAAAGAATGATGCTAGTAGACCCCGAAGCACCATGCTGCCTTCTATCAATAACACTAGGAGCTCAAGGCGCTCGATTGTTAATAAGAGATCTTTGAGGAGAAGTAGGAGGATTATCAAATCATCCGATGATTCTGAGGGACAAGATGCTGATTCACTTGATTTTGTATCAAATGATAGCATTGCAGATAGTGATTCTGAAATGATGACAGTGGACTCTGATATGCCTAGCATACAAAATGGCATCAGGACGGGTAGTAAGCCAGTGGGGGTGGAGGCGCCCCTGTCTGAGAATAATGAAAGGGTAACAGACTTGAGTCATGGGCTTGACCTTCAAAGTAGCAATATCATCATTAAGAAGAAAAGGAGGCCTAGCCGAAAAAGACACAACAATGATATTGTTGAAACAGCTAAACATGACATAGTAGCTTCTGATGCTGAAGTGCTAAAAAATGAATGTGTTTCGCCTAGTTTTAGTGAGAAATCAGTGGAACGATATGGTAAGGATGATGGTGACGAACACTTGCCTTTAGTCAAAAGAGCCAGAGTTCGTATGGGCCGACCATCACCAGCAGCGGAGGAAGAAGTCACTTTACTGCATAAAGAGGAAAAAACAGTTGAAGTTCCTGAAAGTCTTTCTATGCCATCTTTTGATACTTTAAGTTGCAAGGTTGATGCTCTTGATGACACAGAATCTGTTCCCATTAAAGTAGATCCGGCTCTTTCTTCTTTATCACATGTAATTCATGTTAAAAACCCTCACCTTTGTGAAATTAGAAAGAATCCTGTCGATATGGAAGCTGCTTTACCCATTAGAGAGAATCCTGTGGATATGGAAGCTACTTTACCCATTAGAAAGAATCTTGCGGATGTGGAAGCTGCTTTACCCATTAGAAAGAATCTTGCGGATGTGGAAGCTGCTTTACCCATTAGAAAGAATCTTGCGGATGTGGAAGCTGCTTTACCCATTAGAAAGAATCTTGTGGATGTGGAAGCTGCTTTACCTCCATCAAAACGCCTTCATCGTGCCTTGGAGGCCATGTCAGCTAACCTGGCTGAAGATTGTCAAAGGGCTTCAAACTGTTCACCAGCAGCAAATATTCTGAGCAATGGATGTTGTCCTCCTTCATCCGTGGAATGCTCTGAGCTCTCCGTAGAAACGAAAGCCGCGATCGAATCGAAATCAGGGACTGTGGAGATTTTGAGCAATCGTAATTCTCCGTCGAGTGCTTCTGAGTTATGTTTTGTGTCAGAAGTGGGAATGTCAGGAAATGATACAGAAAGTATTTCAGTCGTATCAAATTGTGGTAATATTCATAGCATTGATGGCACAAATCCTGATTCGTGCAGAGATTCATTTGAAAATACAGAAGGGGCTGATAATAAACGTCTAAAACTCTCCTCATTAAATGAGGTCACTGCAGGAATTGATGCCGAGCATCACTTACAACAAGATACACTTGATGTTGCTGAACAATTGGCTCATTTACACTGCGATTCCACTGGCCTAGCAATGTTTCCCACTGATCACTGCAAGACTGAACACCCAGAGTTGGATGAAGCTAGTAAGGGATCTGATCCCTGTATTCAGCTTGACAATACAGAGGGCGTAGGTGATGAAACACGCAAGATGAAGAACCTTCAATTACCTGAGATAAACCAGGACAGTAACAAGTAAGATTTCTAATATCTACCATCGGCAATTTTTTTAATTATTCTCCTGACAGTAGTCAAAAAAATTATTTGGTAACAACCATTATTCTATTCATCCCTGTTCCTCTTCTTCACTTCCTCCATACTTTGTATATCACGTAAACTTAAAAACGTATATTTTGTTGGTCCAGAATTTTCTCATTACACAAGATTTTGATAGAGAACTACATGAAGTTTCAATGAAACTGTGTGATGAATATCTCATGTTTATATCTTCAGGTCTGAGTTTTTGAAAGAAGCAAGACCGGAATCCTTGAGTTCAAATATTGCGTGCTCTGTTGCTCCTGTGAAGGTTCTGAATGATGGTCATCATCAATTTCAGTTTCGTTCTACTTCTATTTCCCATGAGCATGTGGATGATAGAACTATTTCAGTCACTCACTCCTCTTCATCTCTGACTGATGCACCATATTCTGTGGCAAGGGCATCCCCTCCCAGTTCTTCCATATGCAACAACACTGCATTATATAGTAATAAATCTCTTGAAAGTAACTCCTGCAGCCCTGATGTCCAGTTACATCTAGAAAAAGCGAAACTTGCTGGTAAATCTAGTAGCAAAGCGGGATCTTTGTTGTCCTTTGAAGCCATCATTAGATCATTGACAAGAACGAAAGAGAGCATTGGTCGAGCTACACGGATTGCAATTGACTGTGCTAAAAGTGGTTTTGCAACTAAGGTAGACCTATCTTGGCAATATGAAGTTTTTTGCACTGTGTTTAAATTTCGTTAATTTTTCTATTGTAGCATCATAGGAAATTGCTAATTAAATAAATTTTGTTATGTGTATGAACCCTGAGCGTTCTACTTGCATATTGTGAACAACTATATCCGTAATATATGTTTTAATGTGTGAGGTAGGGTGGATCTTACTTTTCGCCGATGTTTTTTATGGTCCATAATTATAGCTTTAATGAAATCTGCTTGATTGGTGGAATCTCCTTACGGAAGCTTATATTCACTTTTTCTGCGTCATGCCATTGTCCCTGAATGATGTGATTTCTTTAGTTGCTATTTGGACAAAAAAAAGAGAAATACAATGATAAGGCAGCACCCCGTTTCTTGGTATGCTTTAGGAAGTTATCCATATTTAAAATAGAACTGGTTACATGCAGCATTTGGTTTGCGATAAGAAATTGGAGATGTGTTCAGATAAATGGTTGCTTTTATATACATCTTAGTGCTCTTTAAGTGTAATCAGTAATGTTGTTCAGTACTTCATTCATACCATAGGAACCGTTGCTTAATGTCAGTCATATTTCCTTATTCAATAGTTTTCTAGCTGATGGGTATCTAGAATTGTATGTGGCTGGGTTCTATAAATTAGATTCTAATAGAGCACATTTATGTTGCATTTTTTTGCTCTAGGTGGTGGAAATACTGGCACGGAATTTGGAAAGCGAGTCAAGTTTGCACAAAAAAGTTGACCTGTTTTTCCTTGTTGATTCTATCGCTCAGTCCTCTCGAGGCATTAAAGGTAACTTAGGTTCAACATTGTCCTGATATTATTCGTCATTTAGGTGACCTGCTACAGAGGTCAGCTATTTTATAGTTTCAACATTTTATTGGATGAAGGATTTTTATGCTGAATATTTGTTTGTTCAGGTGATGGTGGCGTATATCCCTCCGCAATCCAGGCTCTGTTGCCTCGCTTATTGTTAGCTGCAGCCCCTCCTGGTAGTAATTTTCATGAGAATCATAGGCAGTGCTTGAAAGTAAGTGAAGCGATGCCCCTTGCAGTAGTTACCTTTGAAGTCTCTCTTGTTTATGCTACTAGTTGCTACGTTTCGTAGAATTTTGGTGATAATGTTCTATTTCCTGACTCGATGGGTAGGTTTTAAGAGTGTGGCAGGAGAGGAAGATTGTTCCAGAACCAATAATCCGCCACCACATCCGAGAGCTTGATTCCCTTTGCGGTTCGTATCCTACTATTGGATCTAATCGAACTTTACGAAGTGAAAGGCCTATTGATGATCCTATCAGAGGAATGGAGGGTATGCAGGTTGACGAATATGGAAGGTGATTTAGTTTCTTACCCTCCATGTTGAATTAAGACTTTTCTGCTGTACTATTCTATTTGTTTTCGCTTTATGTATGATGGAGTATCTATGGATAATCATTCATAACTAACGAGTTCCATCCTTCTTTTTTTCTTTCTTTTAGCAATGCAAGCATTCAGCTTCCTGGGTTCTCCATGCTTCCTATGGTGAGGGACGATGACGGTGGGAGCGATTCTGATGGAGAGAGCTTTGAGGCAGTTACTCGAGAGCATAACCTTGAAAATTTTGATGGAGAAAAGACACAGCTGGTCCCTGCAGTTGAGAAGCGAAGCCATATCTTGGAAGATGTTGATGGAGAGATAGAAATGGAAGATGTGGCTCCTTGTTGTGATGTTGAAATTACTTCCACCGTTAATAATACAGAAGCAGATCACACGCGAATGTCACATTTCCCATCTGATAACCATTATGGGGCACCATTTACCCATCAACAACCTAGGGATGTACCGCTGGCATCTACTCCTTTGTCTAGGTCTTCCCCTCCACCACCTCCACCTCCATCTAGACCACCTCATCAACTTCTACCTCCTGTTTTTCCTCCTGCAGTGCATAACTCTGTTTCAAATGGTCCCGACTCAAAGCCTTATTCCAGTTCTCAGGTTTCTCTTTCATAGCTATAGTGTACATGATAAGTTGGCAAAAATATTATTAAATATATTCTGACGTGATCTGTTTTCACCCGCAGAATCTCAATAGCAATATGCAGAAGTCCATGACGAACCAGTCTGTTTTCTCAAGACTCAAGCCAATGCCCAGGGATGATGTGCATCATCATCGTATTCATGAAAATAAAGATTTTGAAGCTCAGTTGCCAAGACAGATGCCTGCCTCAAGTAGTGCTTGTTCTTTCAGCAATCGATCTACCTCCCGTTCGTCTGGTCGAGACTCTAATAGCATCCCGCCAAATGATTCTTTCGGCAAGGGTTATCATTTGCCCCCACCTCATCCTGCCCCTTCAAATCAGTTTTCATATGTACAAGAACAACGAACACAATCGAGAAGGGATATCCCACCGCCTTCCCATCCCAACAGATTCCATTCGCGTAATACAGAAGACGCGAATTTTTATAGGGATCGTGACATAAATAAATTTGGCCGACGTGATAATATTGGAGAGTGCTGGAGGCCTCCATTTCCATCCATCTCTGGTAAGTATGATCCCCCCCTGGTTTTATTCTAACATTTTTGTAATTTATTTTTTATTCGGATAATGTCAGTCAGAACCTTGTGTATTTTTGCTTTCATAGGTCCATGCTATCCTGATGATGCGAGGATGAGTCATGCACCCGCGTCATACAACGGTCCACCCCGTGAGCCGCCATTACCTAACAGTAAATGGGATTATCCTTCTCGGCCCGTCAACCACAAACATTTCCATCCTTACAAGCCACCTTCAAAAGGTCCTATTCCTGTGGAAAATAGAGGTGGGCCTACTACTTTAATTTTATAGTGGTTAGCAGACTGTACTCCATTAATATTACGCCCGACTAATAAAATTCTATATTTGTTTTTCAGGTCTTAATTTCTGGAGACCAAGGTAACTTATCTGAGGCAGCTGCTTCAAGCTGGTATTATTGGCATGTTCTTAGTCGGACCGTGTATATACATGTATATCGCCTTTCCTATATCTGCAGTTGCCAAATGATTAGATGGTGGGAGGCTGTCTGGTGGGGGGACATGGTGTCGTTACCCCTAGGCTGCCGAAAACCTCTGTAGTAATAACATATTTCTCTTTTTTTCTTTCAAAATTTTGGTGAGGGTAAAAAACCTAATGGTAATTATTTTAGGATTTGCAATCAACCAGGTAATGAAGTGTAACTTATCTTGTACATTTCGAGTAGTTGAACATTCCCAGCTGGTCAGAATGTTGTGCTAGTGAATTGTTAATTTATGTCAGCCAAACCTTACTGTTGTTTGTGCTTTTAAGGTTTATATTTTTCTCGATTATATATAATTGTTGTTTGTTGTTTGTGTACAATTTTGTCTGTGAAACAACTGCAGCAACTGTGAAAATTGTTCGAAGTTATACATGAACCAGTTGAGTTTGTATATAGATAGAATGGAGAAGAAAAGGGAAATACAAATTGTTTAGTGAAGGGCATTTCAGGAATATGGGGTGGGTATGGACATAGCCAAAATAGATTTACGATCTAAAACAATAAATGCCCAAGTAAAATTAATGTAAACAAGTTCACCAAATTTACCAAACATAACATATACGTCAATTTAAGTTATTAAATACTATTTTTGTGCAGGATAATATATAATTCAAACTTATATTATTTAAATATGAATTCAATCACTTGATAATGATTAAATTATTAGAATCATTTAAAAATCGAAGTGAAGGAAAAAAAGAATCACTAATTCAAATTTTGTTAAAAAAAAAGAAAAAAAGAAAGTTCACTTGCTAAATGTACGGTTGTACCCCCACCCCCCACCAAAAGAAAAAGGAAAGGAAAAAGGAACAAGGGTTTTCACATTATCTTCTCTATCTATCTATTTTGCAGTCAAACAAACCTGTTCGAAACCAGCTGTAAAAGATGGTAAGCGCCATTTATTATTATTAATTAATCATTCCACCGTATTCATCATGCCATCATTTATTGCTGTTTCACATTATCATCCTCCATTTTTCAAAAAAAAAAAAAAAAAAATCATCGTGTACAATTCTAATCCCTGTACTGTACGTACCAACAGCCGTAGAAAAGGAAAAATTGGAGGAGGTGGAGGAGGTATACAGAAATGGGTGCTTCTCCTTCTTCACTCCCTCAAAAATCCATCCACGAATTTTCCGTCAAGGTTCTCTCTCTCGTTTCTCTCTCTTCAATTTTAATTTTAATTTTAATTTTTAAATACGCCCTAGCTATGATTAATGATTTATGGATGGAGAATTTATGAATATTTGATGAGCAGAACAGCAGAGGTAAAGATGTGAACTTGAATTTATACAAGGGGAAGGTCTTGCTTGTTGTTAATGTTGCTTCCAAATGGTGAGCCTTCATCCCCTCTCCTTTTGTGGTGGTATTTTCCATTTGTTTTTCCTTATTTGTAATCAATCGGGTATGTATGTATGTATTGATTATTATCTGTTTGGTTGTGTGAAACAGTGGTTTCACCAAAGCAAATTACACCCAGCTCACACAGGTTTACTCCAAGTACAAGGATCAAGGTCACTTATCTTTCTCTTTCTATTGTTTATTTGTGATTTATTTATCTTCTTTTTGTCGAGGGTTATTTCTTCAATGAATTAATTTGAATATTTTGAGTTTTGAGCTTTAGAAATGAAGCTTGTGATTGTGTGTATAGGCAATTCGAACCTGTTTTTCCTTAAACTTATATTGTACGTCAGGTTTAGAGATATTGGCATTTCCATGTAACCAATTCTTGTATCAAGAGCCTGGATCGAGCCAAGAAGCCGAAGAATTTGCTTGCACAAGATTCAAGGCTGAGTATCCCATCTTCCAAAAGGTGACAGACTGCTTTCTATTTGATTTCTGTGTGTTGAATAATGTTGTGGTTTATCGATATATGCTTTCGTTGTTTTAGTTCTTTGTTTATCCGTGATATAGATTCATTCCGTGGTTATTATACATCATTAAAAGCAAAGAAAATATTAGTGTCGTAGTTCCGAGTTTTTAGAAGGCGAAGAGTAGTAGTACTAAACAGGAAAACTGTAAACACTTTTCATCCATTGATCGGACTGGAAAACCTTAAACTGGTTTTATAAAGGGAAGAAACTACATTAAACTCTTCTCCGTAAGCGATGATCAAGCTATATATGCTCTGCTTCTTCATGACCCTCAAAAGTATTTATATGCTACACATAAGATCTCGATTGAGACTGATACAAGAATAATAACTAGAAAACGGGTAGTTGAAGAGTAGTGGAGGGATTTCCTTTCTTGTTGACCGATTGTTGCATTTGTTATTTTAGGTTTCAAGTTTTGCAATTAATTGTTGATAAATGATGTTTTACTTTGAAAGGTAAGAGTGAACGGACCAAATGCAGCACCCGTTTATAAGTTCCTGAAAGCAAGTAAAGGCGGTTTTTGTGGGTCCCGCATAAAATGGAACTTCACCAAGTTTTTAGTCGACAAAGATGGGCACGTAATCAAACGTTATGGATCAACTACCACACCCCGGGCAATTGAGGTATGTGCGCTTGTGTGTGTGCACATGTGTGTGTGTGTGTGTGTGTGTGTGTGTGTGTGTGTGTGTCTCTCTCTCTCTCTCACATACGTGTGTGTGTTTTCGACTTTCGTGATTGCAGGGGGATATAAAGAAAGCTCTAGGAGAAACTTGACCGACCTGTTATTTAGTTTGGACGTTGAAACGAGAGAGACCCCGAGTAGCATAACGGAAGCTGGTATGTAAACTATGTAGAATGCATCAAACAAAATGTTAATTATATTCACTTATTTTTGTTTAATGCACTTCTTATGGTACTTGTGGTCTTGTTTATTTGTATGACATTCGGAAAAGAAATGGTTGAATATATTCTACGGTCTTCGTTGATTTTATCCATGGACCGTGTGTGATGTGTTCCTCTGTTTTAGATTTGTTCTCTTCTTTTCCTCTTTTATATCATTATTATTATGTATAATCTTTAATTAATTGGGGATTTTAATCCTTTTAGCTGTGTGCTTCAATTTGCTAAAAATTGCCATGGAACAAAAAACTTTGAGAAAACAGTTGTTGACAGTTGAAATATTTTTGTTGGTTCTTAATGTAAGTTGGTTGTATTGTTTGTCCCACATCGTAAATTAACAAGACTTGTGAACAAATTATGAGTAAACTTGTTCTATAATATATGTTCCAGCGTTAAAAATATTAAAAAAATAAAAAAATAATTTTTTTTTGAACATTTAAGTGCCTTTTAGCAAAATCGTGAGCTATATAGTATACGATTTTTTTGTGATTTTGCTTGAATATTCAAAATTTTAGCAAAAAAAAGGATTTGAACATTTAAGTGATTTTTAGCAAAATCGCGAGCTATATAGTACACGATTTTTTGTGATTTTGCTTGAATATTCAAAATCTTAGATTTTTTTTTTTTAAAATAAAAACATAATAATAAAAAGAAAAGATTTGAACATTTAAGTGATTTTTAGCAAAATTCGTGTGCTATTGTATACGATTTTTTTGTTATTTTGCTTGAATAATCAAAATTAGCAAAACAGTTTTTATATGAAAAATCATGGACATGCAGATTAATAAATATCTTTTATATTATATATTTAATCGTTAAAAAATATTCAAATAGTACTTAAATAATTCAGGCGGCTTCTAGCAAAAACAATGTATTATTATATATGATTTTTTTTTTTATGATTTCACTATTAAAATAAAAAAATAATTAGACGAACTATTTCTTGACTAAACATGAATGAACGTCTTTTATATTATTTCTTTTAGTGTTAAAAAATAACAAAAAAGAAGATTTGAACATTTACGCAATTTCTTGCAAAATTCGTTTTTGTATGATATACATTTTTCGTGATTTCGCCGTATTATTCATAAATTAGAAGAAAAAGAAATTAGATAAAATATTTCTTGACTTAATATGGATAAACATCTGGTAATGCTATTTATTTGAGATTTAAAAAATAAAAATAAAAAGACTTAAAATTTAAGCGATTTTTAGAAAAGATCGTGAGCTATATAAAGTATACGATTTTTGAATTTTCAAACTCAGTAAAATAAATTTTAGATGAAAAATCTCTAATACTTATATATACTTATATAAGTATATTATTCAAAATTCTGCTGTATTTGTACCAGAATATTAAATGTAAAATAAAAATATTTTTAATATGTCCAACGCATTCATACTAATGAAGAATTGACATTTAGATAAAGAGATAAGGTTTAGAAAGGTTTGATATGCTTCCCTTTAATACGACACGGGGACATAGTTTAGCACGTGACTGGGCCCACTAAACCCTATCTATTTCCAATTTTTGGCCCATTGGGCCCACATGCCCAGTCACAATTTTTCTTGGGATTCTGAAATAAAACTCGGGTTAGTCAGTCACGGCCGGCAATGATGAGCGGCCGGCTTGTCGGAAAATACCTAATTTAATTTAATTTAATTTAATGTTCACCGCACGTGATGAAGACGACGTCGTCTTTAATGCACAATTGATAGTTCATTGTCAATTCGTGGGCTATGGCCCATTCTCGATTTATATGTCGGGATACACTACTTAATTATCTGTTTATTTATTTATTTATTTATTATATATTATATAGCCGGCGAATTCAATTATTGTTTTTTAAAAAAATAAAATAAAAATAAAAAATGGACTAGATATTTTAGAAAAAAAAATGAATTATTACTTCATGTTATCCCAAAAGAAAGAAAAAAGCATGGTTACGTATAGAAAGCATAATTTGAAATTGAATTAATCTAAGTAGGACTGAGACTGGGTTGGTTTTTATCCACCAATCGATCCAGTACCGATCATATTTTTAGGCGGATAATCAATTTTTAACCGACCCATTGGATCGGGTCGAAAATTTTAACCAACCCATCTACAATGGGTCGGTTGGTGGTTTCTAATATTATCAAAAGTTGATCGACCGATAATTATCGGTTATCCAACTATACTATTAAAATTTTATTAAAAATATAAATAAATACCATATTTCCTTAAGTGGTTATTGAAATTATCAAAATAATTAGTATTCTAAATTTTAAAACAAAATTGACCTAAATCTTCAACCAATTTATTTATGCCCAATCTTAAATAAAAAGCCCACAAAACTTCACTAAATCTATTGTATTTCTTAATTATATTTTTTCGTTAAATTGTTATTAATTATTTTGAACTGATAAATGATGATCGCACCGTGGCATTACGCAAAATTTGGATATTTTTACTCCAAACTTTGATTTTTTTTAAGTGAACTATCAGGGGTATAAACCATCAACCGACCCATTTCGGAACCAAATATTCGGTTGCCAACCATCAATCGACCCACAAAGGTTGGGTCGCCAACGGTTTTCAAATTTGAGCAAAAATGGTTTGACGGATGGGTCGGTTTTTAGGCTGGTAATCGACCGACCCAACCCAGTCCCAACCCTAAATCTAAGTATGACGAAAATAATATATATTTTAGTAAATAAAAAAAATGCTTTTATTTCAACCTCGTCCTTGTTGGTCATAAGTAAGGGACAAATATTTTGTCATAAATTTGGTGTAGTAGTACATAAGTGGTGAGTTGCATGAACCTCAAAAAAAGTATTACTAGTATAAAAATAGGTATGGGGGGCAAGGTACAATTTTTATATAAAAAAAATAATGGGGAATATAATTATTGAAATAAAAGTAGTCGTACCCAATTATTTGTACATTGTAACCCAGCCTCTTATAGAAATGAAACATGTCGTATGTTGCATAGGCAATGTAGTCATACATTTTCATGCTTGTCTATACATCCTCAACATATATATATACCTTCCACTATTGTCTTTTTGCCTCCTCCTAATTCTTCCCTATTTCATATATATCTATTCATAATATAATATGATGAAAATAAGTACATATATCTTTTAGTAAGTAGTACTTCTCATGCTTGATTAAGCTAATAAATCAAAACAAATGAATTGAGAAGGTGGAGTTGTGCTCATGTGGAGAATCAAGCTCAATTCAGCACAAATAAACTCGTAGATCAAACCACTCGCGATCAAAGAACATGCACATAGAAATAAAATAAATAGAAAACTCTAACTCTTGCATGAGAAAACGAACTTTCTCTTAGTTTCCTATCCCATGAATGCAGTTAGTTTGTTATTCTCATGTGATCAATCCTCCAGTGCTTAGGCGCTTCTTAGATTCCTTTTGCATCACACCCATTCATCAAGATAAGTTGATGATCAATTCTAACATGGAGAGATTCTATTTTTAATAGATTCATTTTGATTCGAAAAATCAACTACATGACTAGTATACTTATACGTGATAAATCTCAACGAGAGAAGCTTAAAAATCAAAATAAGTTTCACCATAAATAAATAAATAATGTAGGATTTTTGGCAGACAAATCTCTAGATTTTTTTATTTGAAAAGGAAAAAAAAAAAAGAAAAAGAAAAAAATAATATTGACAGAATGAATACCTTATCCTAATTAGGCAGGTAGATGGGAACAGTATGTCCTAAAGTTTGATAATAAGTCAATTTGAAGTAGGGTACCCAAAGCAGACAAATCAAACCAGTTTGGCTTTGTCATCTTAATGTTTTTCTTTTATTTTTGTTTTTGTAATAAACAGAAGATGAAGTGAATGCAGAAAAAGAGGGCTGGGCCATGAGTTTGCATACACCACAAACTGAAATTTCCATATCTTTTTTGAGCATCCCCTTGTTACTATATAAACCCATAAATGCCACTCAACCAAAATCATTCATTCATTCCCACACACACATTCAATAATAATAACAAAACTTGCCAAAGTTTGTTAACAAACACATACAAATAGAAAGAAAAGAAAGATGGCTGCAAATTCATCGGTTAGAAGTTTGAAACATGGATCGGTTCAACGTTGTTCGAAGCAAATGAGGGAGCACAAGGCTCGTCTTTACATCATATGGAGGTGCACTGTCTTGCTTCTGTGCTGGCATGACTGAACAACAAACAACTTTCTTACAACTGATCATCGTGTAATTTTCAGACACTAGCTAGGGTGTAGAAAAAATCTAGTCTCTAGTTTCTTTCTTTCTTTTTTTTGTTGATTATAATTAATGGGGTGAAGAATCTTGATCATCTGTAAAGTTTAGGAAGGGGGCGTTTTGGTGAATTCACTGTTAGGGGACAGTAGAAATGTAAACATCAGTTTATGAACAAATTTAATCTCTTCTTTTTTTGTTTTACAATTTTAGTACTAAATTAAGGCCCCTTTAAAGTTTTGGTCCGCTTCAACCTGAAGAAATT